ACGATTCCACTCACTCTCAAAATCAAGTGCAACATAACAGCATTTTTGTTTGATATCATCAATAACATCCAACATTCTTTCATCAAAGTAATGCCCCATGTCTTTGAGGAGATCCATCAAAAAAGATGTCATATTGGCTCCAGCAATGTCCATTCTTTCTATAGCATGTGGCAAATTGTATCCTTGATGGACTGGTACTGAGTGTGTCATAGCGTGGCCTGTATCTACCACCAATCCACTAATTTTTCCATGAGCATACACTGATAGTACAGACTGATATGCCACATACATTCCAGGAGAATTGAGAGACTCAAAGACCACCTCCACCAATTTTTCCCGGTTCGTAGTTGGACAGAGAGGAGGATCAGACATTAAAAGTGCATGGTCTTCTGGAGCAACTTTGAGCTCATGGTAGAACAGGTGCCTCCACAGTGCTTCAGCTGCTTCCCAGTCTATGATTATGCCATGCCTTACTGGAAAAATAATATCGGTATCAGGTTCCAATCGAGCGTGATCTCCAATGAATGTATCTGGTCTATCTCTTTTAGTCCTCATAGATTTTTCTGTAGGGTGTCCAACTAATGTCCCAATGACTGACTGGGGGGTCTGCTGACCTGCAAATCCAGCTTTACATGTCCCTGTACCAGTATCTATGACAATAGCTCCTGTCTTGACAACTGAACGCCCTCTTTCTGGAGTACTTGACCTTCTCATGGTAACCCCTCGTTCTCTGGAAGATGCTCGAGATACTGATGGCTGGTCCAATGCATATCCTGTGGATGGGGTCCTTTTTCTTGAGTATCCTGGGCTCACTGGCCTTGACCCTGGGCTCTTTGATCGTAGAGATCCAGGACTCCTTGGATAAGAAGGCCCTGGACTGCTTGTCCTGTGACTTCTGGGTAACATAGTAAATATGTCTCAAGATACCTTCTCCAAGAACAAATCACGTTCTGTAATACCTAAATGTCAAGGGCCTTCTGTTTGCTTTGGCTAAGGCAAGTAGCACTGCCCAATGATGATCTCTTCCCTCCAATCATTGCTCGGGAGGAAAGTGCGTCAGCTCATTCTGCTACTGTCCTGTCCATCTGGAAGCTCTGAAATGTTCCACAAGGAACAATGGCCAGAAGGAAAGAATCTTAGAATCTTAAGAACTCATGGAATGCCATGAGTCATCCAGATCAACTCTCCTTGAGTGACATAAATACATTCAAAATTGTTCCCAGGACTTCTTTGATAACCACAAAAAAGGAAAAATATTTAGCTGAATCATGGCAACTACAATAACTGTTCACAAAAGATAGTGCACTTGCTACTAGCCTTTCCCCGCTAAGAATCTGAAGCTAAGGAATATGATGGCTGAATTTTCTGCTATGGTAGGATCATGCATTAGCTTTCAGTCATTTATTTCATTTTAAGAAGATTAGACAAATTCTACCAGTTCAGGATATTAACCCATCCAATTCTGCATTCTGCATCACACAGTGATCAGCTAGATACATTCAAGAAGCTCAGAAGCATAGATGGATGTCTTCCACAGCTGCTTTCCTGCAGTTGGTATTTAAATGATATTCTTTATTATTAAGGAGGTAGTATTTAATAATGAAATCTAGGACTTACTGGTAATTTGATCTACCACACGTTTGTCCAGTTCTGGTTTAAAGCCGTCACTACATGCAATAGTAATTCAGCTTCTAAATTATGCATTGCCATGTTTATCTATTTGATCAATAGAGCATAATATTTGGGGGAGAGATCAAAAAGAGATTGGTTAATCCAATCAGTTACGGTAACTTTAGCCTCAAATCATTCATAAGTAAAACTATGTTAAAGTATCTCCATTCAGTCAATGTACATAGGAATATCCCAACCCAGTCTACTAACCTGTTTTGCTTATCTAGTCCAAGAGATGGAGAGAGAGAATGTTTAATAAAATCAAGTCTCATTGCCAAGACCTGGCAGGGCTGGATACACTTTATCCTGGGTAGCTGCAGCCATGCCCATTGCTAGTCTCTTGATGGAGAGGCCCATAAGAGCAGGCATTTCCTTAAAATGTACATACTCTGTATTCCTCAAATAGGAGGTTCTCACCTACAGCATTTACTGTGCTGCTGGAATCACCATCAAGGAGATCTGTTTGGAATAGCAGGTAATTGCATTCTGAGTGGTGTGGAACAAGATCATTGTGAGGTACTTTCTTTTACAGGTGCTAAATCAGCGGTGTCAAACTGGATTTCTTCGAGGGCTGGATCAGCATTGTAGTTCTCCTCTGCGGGCCAGTGGGGGTGGGGTGGGGAGACAAGATGGATACTTCCCGCAGCACCCTGCTGGCAAAAACAGGGCATGGGAGGGGCCGTATGAGGCCCCTGAAGGGCCTGTTTTCTGCCTCCCCGGCCTCCTGCAGCACTCTGCCAGGCAAAAACAGGCCCTGCGGAGGCCCTGCGAGGTCCCCTCGGGGCCCGTTTTTGACTTCTCCGGCCTCCAGCAGCACTCTGCCGGCCAAAAACACACAGAGAAAAAGCTCTGTTTGATCATGATTGTCTACATTATACAAGGCCATCAGAGGAGTATCTGGTGAAGGGGGATGAAGCAAAGTCAAAACTTGCAAATAGTGTATGCAGTGTCATGACCGAACACTTGTACCTAGAATAGAACTGGGCCTATGATTGCAACGTTGCCTCTGAAATCTTGCATTGTTGAACCAATTCCCACATGTCTCGTGCCTTTATACACCTCTGAAATGATTCGTTTTACCTTATCTAAGCAAAAAAATAAATAAATATCCAATCAGTTTTTCAAAATAGAGAATGTGCTTTTGCCCTTGAATTATTTTCTTTTATCTCTATTTCTCTTGGCACCTTTTTTGGATCTACAGTGTATCTTTTTTTAGAGGTAGTGATTAGAACTACCTCTAAATGAAGTTTCATCACAGCTTTATACACACTGGTATTCACATTTGCATCTCTAGGAATTCATTTGACATCTTTGAACTGAACTGAACTGAACAGTCCTTTTAAGTTCACATGAACTTTTTCTTAATTTCAACAACCTGATCTAGAATGTGACTGAATGAGGAGGATGTACAACCTTTTTGTAATTGTGGCTGTGAAACAACTGACGGTGTGAAATTCCACTTGCTAGAAGCCAGAGATCAAGCACAAACTTGATTTTCGTTCTTATTCCTAGTTTGTTTGTTCATTTATTTATTTATATGCCTACCCATCTCCATCTCATGACTTGGACTGTCAACCTTTTTCCCACTTCAGAAATCTATATTTAAACTCTCCGTAGACCACAGCTCATATACTTCATTTTTCTCTGTCCTTTCTTACCTTTGTCTTTATAACTATTTCTTCTCTGTTCTCCCATTATTGTTTTCTCAATTTCATCCCAGATATTTGAATAATAATAATAACAATTTTATAGTAGGGGTACTACTCATGTGGCACGTCTTATCTTGAAGAATAACCAAATTTCCCACATTTTAGCCAGCAAGGCACAAAGAACCAATGTGAAATAGCAAGAGTTTACCGTAATAACTAGTTTGAGATTATTCTTAGCCATGAAAGCTCATTGGCCAATTTTGGAGCCAATCACTATCTCTTAGCCTAGCATCCATTCCAACCCTATTCCAAGAAAATTGGAGGAAGAAGCATTATGTTCAAACTATGGAATGTTAACACAACAGAACTTTTCTTTTTTCCAGGCTGGTGTGTGTGTGTGTGTGTGTGCGTAAAATATGCCTTCAAGTCAGTCTTGACTCCTGGACTAGTCCCTGCAATTTTCTTGGCAAGGTTTTTCAAAAGCAGTTTGCCATTGTCTTCTTCCTCGGACTGAGAGAATGACTAAAATCACCCAACTGGCGTCATGCTTAAGGTGGGACAAACTCACAATTTCCACATTTCTAATTTGGTGTCTTAACCACTACATCAAACTGACTCTCCTCAAATATGCTTAAAGAGGCACTATTTTGTCATTATAACTTGGAGTAATAAAGCCTGATGCCAAATATATAGGATTACCCACGTTTTTATTGACTGTGAGTTGCAAGGGTTGTCTGCAATAGATTCAGAACATGCCACAGCAAGGATTGCTGAGTTTTGCATGTATTCAGTTATTAATGTCCATACCATCAAACCTGCATATATTTTTTTTGCAATTTTCCCTAACACACACATTGAATACAACTTTTCCTAATCTGTTTTCTTTTTTGAACATAACTTTCTTTAATATTCATAATTTTGCAAGTGGTGCTTCATAATATGCAGATTATTCTCCCAAGATATACATATTTCCCAAATATAAATTTCATATACAGGAGTGCACTGCATTCAAAATCCAGAAAAGTGCAAAAGTCACACAAGAGGTTTTTTTTTGTAAAGATATTATTTTCATCTAGACTCTGGACTCTTTCAAGCTTTCTGACTGACATTGCTTGCTCATTTGGAGAACTGAGTCATTTATCTTTAGTCATATATGTTTAGATAAGGGGTGAGATCCAGCAGGTTCTAACAGGTTCTGGAGAACCAGTAGCGGAAATTTTGAGTAGTTTGGCGAACTGGCAAATACCACCTCTGGCTGGCCCTAGAGTGGGGTGGGAATGGAGATTTTGCAGTATCCTTCTCCTGCCACGCCCACCAAGCCATGCCCACAGAATTGGTAGGGAAAATTTTTGAATTTCACCCCTGATTTAGGTGATTAATGGCTTCCTGAGAAATAACGATATTAGTTGGTCGCAACAGCATCTGTAATTATATCTGTGGAATCTTAAGACAATGACTGAGTTGGTTAGTTTTGATGATCAAGATGATCGCTTTAGGATGGCGAGATTGCATGAAATCAAGCCTAACAAATGGATAGTCATGTCTCATAAGTGTATAGAGCTACAGTTCTGAAATATATATATATATAATGGCTGGGTCCCTTGTAAGTTGGAGTGAACAGTTATTAATTCTGAGACCAGATTTAAATATGCAGCCAATAAATACAAGTCACATTTCAAATCTAAGCAAAGTTACTAATTTATTATGGGCCATCTCCTATCCATTTTAATCCTTGTTAACCTGGCTGGGCCCAACTCAGTAGCATTTCCTGTGCACAATATATGGTCCGTACTCTTGGTATTGTTCCTTTGTGATCCAACATGATTGGAAGTTTTTCAAGGAAGCAAGAACTGAACCTCCAGTCCAGACAGAATAGTGCCTAAGTGGAACAGCTGTGACTTTGATTTTTGTGCTAGTCTCCAAATTAGTCATGATATCTTGAGTAAATCTCTTTTCAAATCCTTCAAAAAGTGACGACCCTCCGCATAACATTATATTTTTATACATTTCTTTCCTGATTTGTTCAGGAACTTTCATTAAGCTTTTTTGGGCCATGCCAGGGATGCCTAGAAGAGCAAGTCCAGGCATTTGTGGTGGATTGAACAATATCTCAGGGCACTGAAATCTCTCCTTCCCCAAAGTAATAATTTGGCCATCTGGCAATTGGTATTGTGCTGTATTGTCTTCCTCTGGACAGTTCCACTCACTCTCAAAATCAAGTGCAACATAGCAGCATTTTTGTTTGATATCTTCAATCATATCCAGCATTTTTTCATCTAAGTAATGTCCCATGTCTTTGAGGAGATCCATCAAAAAAGATGTCACATTGGCTCCAGCAATGTCCATCTTTTCTGTGGCATGTGGCAAATTGTATCCTTGATGGACTGGCACAGTGTGTGTCACAGCATGGCCTGTATCTACTACCAACCCACTAATTTTTCCATGAGCGTACACTGACAGCACCGACTGATATGCCACATACACTTTGGGAAAATTAAGGGACTCAAAAACAACCTCCACCAATTTCTCTCTGTTTGTAGTTGGTGAAAGAGGAGGATCAGACATTAAAAATGCATGGTCTTCTGGAGCAATCTTGAGTTCATGCTGAAAAATGTGCCACCACAATGTTTCTGCTGCTTCCCAGTCTGTGATTATGCCATGCCTTAATGGAAAAATTATATCAATATCAGGTTCCAATCGGGCTTGCTCTCCAATGAATGTGTCGGGTATATCACTTCCAATCTTCATGAATTTTTCTATGGGCTGTCCAACTAATGCCCCAATAACTACCTGGGGGGTCTGCTGACCTGCAAATCCAGCTTTACATGTCCCTGTACCAGTATCTATGACAATTGCTCTTGTCTTGACAATGGAACACTCTTTATATGGAGAATGTGACCTGCTCCTGGTGGGCTCTTCTTTTTTTGATGATGTCCAAGATTGAGACATCTGGCCCAAAGCATATCCTGGGGAAGAGATCTCTTCACTTGCGTGGCCCAGCCTCATTGGCTTCTGCTCTGGACTCTTTGATCCTGAGAATCCCAGGTTTGTTTCTTGCAAAGGCTCTGGAGTGGTTGGTCTAGAACCGCTGATTGACATTGTAAATAGAACTTAAATTATCTTCCACTAGATTACACTATGATTTACAACATTTAAACCCCACCTTCTTTCTTCTACAGCTTTAAAATGAAAGGCACTTGCTTTCACTCAAGACACATAAAGGAGAACTATGACATCACATTAGAATTTTCAGCAGATTTTTCAGCTAGCCAAGTGTGACAGTATTGTTAACTCCTTATCGCTATGAAGACTTGGGAACGTTAGATAGGAAATGATGGATAATGAGCTACAATTTGGAAATTGTATATGTGCAGGTAGCATCATGAATTACTTCATACAACATCACTCAATTCCATTTTTGCTCAACTTTGTTCAAATGGAACTGTGTGAATCCAGACTACCATATGAGACAATCAGATGAACTCTACAGTATGAGGAACAGAGGGAAAATACAGACCTGCATTTGTTTTCAACTCTGGATTTAAATATAATGGTCATTTCCTATGCCTGTTTGCATGCTGTTTCTCTCCAAACTATACTAATTTAAGCAGAAGATACAGAATGTTGTTGGAGTGTGAGCTTTTTGTAGCCAGAAAGTTGCAATAAAGTTGAGAAATGGCAGGAATTTGCAGTGAGAAGCTAGAAAAATATTGTGGGTGCTAAAAATGTAATTACACAAGTATTTAATTGAAATGAATGAAAGGAAACAGGCTCTAAGTCAAGGGAGACTTAGTATGACTGGCTTTAAAGGTAAAGGTTCCCCTCACACATATGTGCTAGTAGTTCCTGACTCTAGGGGGCGGTGCTCATCTCCGTTTCAAAGCTGAAGAACCAGCGCTGTCCGAAGACATCTCCTTGGTCATGTGGCTGGCATGATTAAATGCCAAAGGCGTATGGAACGCTGTTACCTTCCTACCAAAGGTGGTTCCTATTTTTCTACTTGCATTTTTTACGTGCTTTCGAACTGCTAGGTTGGCAGAAGCTGGGACAAGTAACGGGAGCTCACCCCGTTATGTGGCACTAGCAATTTGAACCACTGAACTGCCGACCTTTCGATCGACAAGCTCAGCATCTTAACCACTGAGTCACCGTGTGACTGTGTCCCTTAATATGACTGGCTTTAGGGACCTGCTTTCCAGGGAATTGAGGATATGGATAATTATTTGAATGCAAACCATGTAAGAAACCTGTTCTTGTCTTTGCATACATAGACAAGTGCAGCATCCCCATAGTCACATGAACAAAATTCAGATGCTTGACAAAATTGATTGAGCCCAAAATTTCTGTAGCTAAGTGAGTTTTACTCCATGTTATATTTCTTCCACAGTTGTTAAGCGAATCACTGCTGTTGTTAAGTTAGCAAAATGGTTTTTTTTACTAACTTAACAACTGCAAAGTTAATGGGGAATCTGGCTTCCCTATTGACTTTGCTTGTCAGAAGGTCACAAAAGGTGATCACTTGATCCCAGGATACTGCAACTGTCATAAATACATGCCAGTTGCCAACCGTTTGAATTTTGATCACGTGACTGTGGAGATGCCACAAAGGTGTGAAAAACATACTCACTTATTTCAGTGCCATTGTAACTTTGAACAGTTACTAAACAAACTTTCTCCAGGAAGCTCCACAGGTAGAAATGAGGTGTAGGTAGGGAGGCAGCCAGCCCTTTACATCACAAGCCAGCTTTTTGTGCCCAAAAAAGGAGTCACGTGACCCAAGACAGCCAGTAGAAATAGAGAAGGGGATTCTGTCAGGGTTTGGCGGGAAGACTTTCGTGAGAGACTTGGCTGGAATCCTGAAAGGTGAAGGGGGCATTTACCTCAGACAAGGTTAGAAAACTGAGGAGTTAGAATTTTTAGTTAGAATTGCCCTAAAGGGTTGTTTTTCATGTTCTTTTTAAACTGACAATTGTGTCCGTGGAAGCTAATTTTATTTTAATATCTTTTATAAAGTTAGTTAGTTAGTTAGTTAGTTAATTTATTTATTTATTTATTTTCTTAGTTACTTAATTACTTATTTATTTATTTATTTATTTATTTATTTATTTATTTGTTTGTTTGTTTGTTTTCTTTTGTATCAATTGTGGAATTGGCTGATGGCCTTCAATCACCCTCCTCAAGTTGGCTGAGCGACAGACATCTAAAATTTTTAGCTTCCCCTTCTGTATTTAGCTTAGGGGTGAGAGTTTTGGCTGGAATCCTGAAAGGTGAAGGGGGCATTTACCTCAGACAAGGTTAGAAAACTGAGGAGTTAAAAGTTTTTAGCTAGAATTGCCCTAAGGGGTTGTTTTTCATGTTCTTTCAAATTGTCAATTGTGCCTGTAGAAACTTATTTTATTTTACTATCTTTCACAAAGTTTTTATTTATTACTTTATATATAAAGTCAAATCACATTTGGCCAACTGAAGTTCAATAAAGTAAGGATGAGGACAGGAACCTCCATATTCACTTTTTTCACATACCCACGAAGTTTTCATGGTATTACTTCTTGAGAATGCAAATGGTTTATTAGGCTGAAATAGGGGAATCCAGTCTTTATCTTTGCATGTTATATGACTCAGATGTTGTGTTCCAAATATTTAAAATGGAAATGAGATTTTATGCATGCATATTTTGCAGTTTTATAGATATACAGACTCATGAAGGAAATTTTATAACCGTACTGAAGCATATAACATATGGGCAGATTCCCACCCCCCACCCCCATTGCATCTGGTCTACTTAAGCTGAAATCTATCTAACTGAGTAAATTTATTACTTACCTGTATATAAAAGACAAAAAACAGACCTTTTGGTGAAAAAGTGAATGATCACTGTGTAAAGAAACACAATAAATTGGACTTTTAAACAGATTTAACATATTCACTACTAGCTGCTAATACAAAATTGTTAAGTAAGGTTTAATTGTTTATAATTGGCTAGCCTTTTACTGTGAATGAATGAGAGGCAAAAAACACTGTAATTGTATCGCCACACATCTAAGGTACTTTGCTGCTAGAAAAAGAATTGAAAAGAGAAAGATTTCAAGAAGATACTGGACTGTCATCTGTCACAAATGGTGTAGGGTCTGCTTGGCAGGGTGGGGTGGGGGTTGGACTAGATGACCTACAAGGTCTCTTCCAACTCTGTTAATCTGTATCTGTTATTTTCAAAGATAGGTTTGGTGTAAATACTTTATCATTTTGGGATGGTGGCAACTAAATTTTAGCTATATACTGTTAACCTCAAAATTAATGCAGAAAGAATTATGCCAATTCTGACTAAAGTTGATTTCTTCATACTTACATTTTTCTTGTACACAGTATTCTAAGACTTGAGTTCATAGTCATATATGCTATGATTGTCTTTAAAAAAAGTTACTGTATTTTAGATTCTTGGTAGAAGTTTTGTTTTGTTTTTCATTTTCTTACTCATGTTTATTGATTTGTAAAAAATAAGGAACGTTTGAAATATCTAAAAAAGGATTGAAAATCATCTCTACCCAAAATACATTATTTTGAAAACAGATATTACAGTACAGTGTAGTACAGTACAGTATGACATAATTGCAGCTCAAATAAAAATACTGTAAGTCTTCCATTTCAACAACTTAATTGTCTTTGAAAGACAAAAATTCATGCTTTAAAAAACAAACACAAGTGAAATGTTTACTGATTGAGCAAAAGAATACAGTATATATATATATATTTACATTTTTAAATGTGCAAGAGTTCATTGATGCTTTGCAGTCTCAAAAGAATGCAAATTGTTTAATACTGATCCATGCTCCAGGCAGAATCTCTCTCTCTCTCTCTTTTTTTTGGCACTTAAATAATCTAATCTGTAGTTTTTATAGATATTTAAAAAGACTCTAAGTTTCACAACACATAAAAAATAAATATGACAGGGCACCCCATCAATCTATCAGTCTGGCAGTCTTCCACATAATATGCAGTATCTTTGTTCATCAAGAAATTCATTCCAGCTATAGTAAACATATTTTTGTTGCACAATATGTGCAAGATGGAAAGGGTCCTCTTGCAGGGATGAAGTCAAGTTTCCAAAATCCACATCACTATGATTTTTGCATGCCCATGCATGGGAAATAGAGGCCAAAAATGTTCCTTTGGATCTGGTACTTGCCTGCTCTCCTCTTCACCCACACAACAGTCTGATTAAAGAGAGAAATAAATACATTTTATACAAGTGAAGTGCCTTCCTTCTTTTGTCCATTTTCTCTCTCATGATGGACATTCCTTCAGGAGCTAACAGCCTCAATTCCATCTGACTTTGTCAGAGGGAGAAACGAAGCAGAAGACTCCTTCCATTGGCTCCATTAACTGCTTTTAGGGTCCTTCATTCCCAGAATTGCCTCGATTAACAGCATAGGAGGTCTCAAGGAAACTGTTTCATCACATTCCCATCCACTATTATTAAAATTCTTCTGAGAAAACATACACTCTCCTCAGGTATTTATTGGAAGAGTGCTGAGGATTCCTTATATTAGAGACTCATCATTAGCCCTCTACTTTGAAGCATAGTTCATACATACCAAGACACACAGAAGAAAGAAAAAGATAGAACCCAGTAAGACGGAGAAGCATATGAGGATGATGGCCCAGTAAGGGAGCTCTGGAAATAAGAAATAATGCAAATGCATAAATTTAATGATGAAATTTACACCCTGCCCATTTCCACATGCATGTGTGTGTGTGCTTTGGGTAGACAATGCTGATTCTGTTTCAGTTTATAGCATCTTCTGCAGGGACGGATACAATAACAATTCTACATTTCTTCAGTTTAACGCAGCGGGAATGGGGGTATTGAAATCAGAAGCTAAAATATATTGGGATAATATATTTTATACTAAAGGTGGTATATTTGATAATTACCTTGTTTGGGTGGTTCTGTTGTTGCCATGGCTGAAGGATATGCTGGAAAAGAATGGAAAGGAAGGAAGGATTCCATTAAATATGGAAGGGGCAAAAAATAGGCAGAGTCCTGCAGGGATCAAACAAGTCAAGATGACAACCACCACCATGCAATAGAAGGTTTCCCCTCTCTTTTATATGTGATGCTTTTATTGCATGGTGATGGCTGCCATCTTAATTGTTTTTTTACACTCACCCACCTATGGAAATCCCTGGCAGAGTCCAAGATTCTCACTTCGACTCATCTCTCCTTTTCTAATTTATAGCATCTACCTCTGTCAAACATACCTGTGTTTCCCTCATCTTACCGTTAATATTTATGCTGTTATTGTCCAGGCTGTATTTCCCCATTAGGGAGGCATTCTGAGTCAGGTTTTTAAATATATCATACACAAGGTCTTTGTCAAAAGTCCTTGAGCCAAAGTCCACTGCAAATGTGCAGAGAGAACTGATATCAGTTTGACTTTCATGGCTAGTGGGTCTGAAAAAGAGAAATGCAAGCCATGGTAAATATTAAAAAGTGAGGCTGAGAAGATAAACAGCTGAGATTTTTATTTGTTAATGTAAAAAGAAAGGACTCATTAGAGTTTTGGAACAGTAGTGGCAGTAGCAAATACAAGCAACAAATAGATTTGTGAATGTGGACTGGATACTCAATTAGCTTTGCATTCTGTTTAAAAACGCACCTCAAGTTTTTCACAGAACAGCCCACAAAACTCTTGTTCAGATCACTGCGTTGATATAGATGGTTGAGCTGTTCCAAGGAAAAAGAAGAGGATGGATTAATGGATTACCAGGAATGATAATGAATTAAGAAAGAACCAAATCTATTCCTCTTGACACTTTTTCTTCAGGTTTGAATGGAAAACTTCCATATTTAATTCTGCTTTAAAGAACATGCTGGCTAAAGCTGCAACATTATCCTTCACTTAAGAGGTGTAAAATGCTGATGGTGTCAAATGTGGGATGACATATATAAAAGAAATTCACTACAGATTCATATTATGTGTTATGGAGTTGCCTGGACTGATGAGAACCCCCTGTCTGTATTAACAACTGCAAATTTTCCATCTTGGAATTCTTCACCTTTTGAAATTTTGTAAAACAGAGTCTGGTTAATAAAACTTTTAAGGGGCTCTGACTGGTGTACAAAGTAATCAATAAAATTAAATATAAAAAACAGAATAATTTAGGATTTTTTTTTTAAAATGTAAAACATTATAAAATTTCAAAAGGTGAAGAATTCCAAGATGGAAAATTAGCAGTTGTTAATATACAATGGACATCATAACTGGCCTACTCATGTGAATTGTAAAATGGAGCAAAATTGGGGTGATCTGCTCATTCCTACGGTATTCCTAAGGAGTTAGGCTGGCTGTTAGATACTGCATCTGTTGCTAATTGGTGGTTCTGCAGGGCATTATATTTTCTGGCTATGTTAAACTGCCCAAGATGTCTTTTAGGTAATGGAAAAGATGACCCAAGTCTTACTCAATCCTCCACTTCAGTATCTGACTTCCATTTGGCAAAAATATCTATCAATGAGGAGAATTTGTCAAAGGGTCACTTTCCCTCTTCTAGCTCTGAAATGGAGGATGAATAGAACAGTTCTTTTAGTAAATATTCTTGCATTTCTTTAAAAGCAGGGGGCATGTGGACTAACATGCAGGTACATTAATTTTTCTTTCCAAAGTCAGTCTTATTGTAATTACAATACTTTCTCTTAAAATCTAATAAAACTCTAAAATACTCTAATTTTAAAGACTTTGCTTGGGAGCAGAAATGAACACACTTGAAGATTTGGAGAAGAAAAAGATGATCAGGGGTGGGATTAGGGGTGAAATCCACCAGGTTTTGACAAGTTCTGGAGAACCGGTAGTGGAAATTTTGAGTAGTTCAGAGAACCAGCAAATACCACCTCTGGCTGGCCCCAGAGTGGGGTGGCAATGGGGATTTTGCAGTATCCTTCCCCTGCCGTGCCTACCAAGCCACACCCACCAAGCCACACCACACCCACCAAGCCACGCCCACAGAACTGGTAGTAAAAAAAATTGGATTTCACCACTGGGTGGGATACATTGCTATTGATCAATCTTTTTTAAGGGAAGGCACTTAAAAAAACCAACCACACTGCCTTGTATTGTGCTATAACATTACATTAGCACTGTTCCAATGCACAATGGATAAACTGTAGAATTATTGCTGTTTCTTGGTGTTGGCAGAAAATCTACACACATTTTTGGGACTTTAACATCAATGAAACCTGTAGACGTTTTCAGCCATTTACCTCATCCTTGATGCTCGCTTTGGTTTTCTGATAAACTTCTGACTTTGGATCCTTCATGTCCTTGTATGGCAAGTTGATAATGGTGAAATTTACAGTGAAGTTCTTCACCTTTAGCATGTGTGGGGGCTGATTGGTTACTGCTTTGGTATTTGTTTCAAGAATTTTCAATAGAAAAAGGAGTGCACAAATATAACAAACATTTCTTTTATTGTAAATTTAATAGTCACTTAGTTATTATAAGCTTCTGAAAGACCCTAAGAGTGTTAAAAATCTGCCTGCTGGTCGCCCATCCCATCCCATCCCATCCCATCCCATCCCATCCCATCCCATCCCATCCCATCCCATCCCATCCATCTGTCTCCCTTTTTACAACCCTGTAACCTCTTAATTTGGGCTAGAGTTGTGGTGACTGAATGGAGCTGAGCATTTACTGGCCAGATGCCCTTCCTGACACCAGGTGGAGTTTGCAGTAGGTATTTTTTCTTTGTGCCCTAGGAGAGAAACATCTGCCGCTACCTAGGATTGACCTCTCATCTTCTGAGTGGCAGGTGAGTATCTTCACCACTAAGCCATCATGCTGCTTAGCTCTATCTGTCTGTCTATCTGACATAAGTAATAGGAAAGGAGATATTATAGATTTTTTTAAAGGTGTGAGGCCTACATTAATGACCATTACCATTTTAGTTCATGCCAAACTTTATACCTTCAATGGTGAAGCTCATGAATTGGAACCTGCTACCCAGCCACTGAGAGGTGGCATTCTGGGTCTCTTGTTGAAAGACATTTTTGACGGTTTCTTTGCTGATATTCCTTGCAGGATGGAAGTAACACTTGCAATCAACTATGATGGAACCGATTCTAAAAAATATAGTGGGGATTCAGAAAGAGAGAGAAAAGAAACATGAGTTGACTTCAGACTAAAGCTAAGAAGCAAGTCGGATTAACAGTAAAATGTTTTAATGCACAAAAACATTTCAAATTGTATTACTGCTAGATAAAGTCAGACATTTTCAGAGGCAACTTTCAAAATCATCTTGAGTTTTGATGTCTTGATGACATGTCTAAGATCAAAATGCACACAGAACAAAAGACTCCTACTATATAGTATACTGAAACTTCATAATCAAAGTATTTTGCTAATATATTCTTTGCCATAAATGGCTTTTTCAGTGGTGCAGAATTTCTAGCCAGCAGAAGCACTGAGAGCTATATTTCCTACTATCTTAGTTAAAGGCTTCTCAACTACCCAGAAAGAAATATATTGCTCTTGGCATCTTTTACTGAAAAAAGCAAATTTGGGTAGGTCACTAAACAATAAATTCAAAAATAAGGCCTGAGGTACAGTGGCTGAGGTTAAAACCCAACAGACTCAGCTAAAATCAGACAAGCCACATGATGAGTTATTATGTAAATTTACCTACTAGGAGTGGGCCAAATTTACTTTGATGGAAATAATAATAATGCATCTCCATGAAGTTTCTGTATTTCAGCACATTAAAAAATGAAGATTTCCTGGAAACATTTCCCATTCTGATATGTGCATTAGATAAGCAAGATAACTTTTGCCTTATTTATAAAATAAGGTTGGGTTCACACAATTAAAATAGGCTACAATAACAGCTTATTGGGCATTTTGTGATTCAATGTGCTGTAGCTATCAGACACTGACAATAAGTTGTATGAGCAGGCCAGCACATTAATCATAAGATAGTCCATTAGTTTAGGATTAATATACGAGCATGCAATATTTTTCTTTATTAAGCTGGGTTTCTTGTGTTATCAGAACTCTACATAAATGAGGAACATTCAACTAGCTGACTATCATGATCTGAGGTACTTCTATGACTGATTATTAATCAATGCTGCAATACTCCAAGTGAACCATACTTTTATTTTTAAAAATTCATTTTTTCAATTTATATGGCCGCTCATCTCAAATTCATGATTTTGTGTAGCTAACAATATTTAAAGCAGGGAAAAGACAACACACACATTGTCTTTTCCCTATTTTAAATATTGTTAGCTACACAAAATATATATATAAACCTCAGCCAGGGGGAAAAAAACAAGCTTATTAATGATAAATGAACATAACCATAGTATGGCCTCATTCATACCTCCTGACACCCCAGGCCCATTCATGTCTGCTTTTGCTTTCACTCAATATCAACTGGACTGGAAGATTTCAACATCTTGAGAGAAATCTGGCCATTCTCATATCTGATTATTTTGGAATGCCTTTCCTAAAACACCTAGCTCAGCAGCATTAGGGCCTAGCAACCTTTTTAATGCCAAGAGCTGCATTTTCCAGGACTAATCTGTTAGTGAAGGAAGATCCACATGGTAGGCCTAGTAAGGAATAAATGCAGCCAGTGCAGTGATGGATTCCAACCGGTGTTATCACCAGTTTTCTTTGCGCACGCGCTTTGCGTGCAATCACCGTGCATTTGCTCGCTTCACTTGCACGTGCGCCAAACTTGCGCTCTGCACAAGCACATTAGGTTTCTGCCCAGCTGAGGTGCGGCAATCCACTCTGCCATGCCTATCAGCTGGGGTAAAAAATGAGAATTAAAGGTAAGTTTAATGTGGGAGCAGGCGGGAGGGCCCAGCTCCCAAAGAGAACCAGTTCAGTGATGTCACATCATCACCACCACCGGCTCACCCGAACCAGCCCGAATCAGGAACAACCCACCATTGGGCTAGTGCCTAAAATGGACATTCCGTTTCTGATACATAGTTTGTTATTCTTTCTGACTCCCCCCCTTTTTAAAAAAAATAAATCTCTTAGAGGCACTTTTCTTCTCTCTCTCTCCCAAGCTGCAATTTAGAAAGAGCTCCTGATGCACAGACTTTTTGTAATTAGGCCCAGCTATCTAGTGCTAGCTAATGGGTAAGTGGATGGAAAGCAATGGTCTGTGTGCAAGAAAGAGGTAAGGAATGAAATTCTCCTTTATTTTCAGTAGCTCTAAATTGTATCATAGTTGAGAAGTCTGAAGAAATGTAAAAATTGGGGAGTGCTATTTTATTTATTTATTTATTTATTTATTTATTTATTTATTTATTTATTTATTTATTTATCAAACTTCTATACCGCCCTTCTCCTTTCGGACTCAGGGTGGTGAACAGCCAAAATAAAAAACATATATACATAAAGTTACAATTAAAAATAGATTTAAAATAATTAGATAAATCTGGCCCGTAGTTTAAAATTTGTCAATTTAAAATCCATATCAAATTTTAAAACCAACCATAAAATCAAGACAGACCGGCTAACTGAAAAAGATAAGTTTTTAGGGCCCGACGAAAAGTCCGGAGGTCTTTTGATGTCTACCCTGCAGTATCTGCTCTACTTTACTTGGAAAAGTGGGTAAGGAAGTTCCTTTACAGACATGCTGGTTTGGAATTCTGGAAGTTAAAAGTCCAACGTGCGTGGAGAATGTGAGTTGGGAAATACTGTGCTTTCTTATTTTTATTTTATTACTTGTAGGTTAATGCAACATTGACAAATAGTTTCCTAGTATGCTGTAAAAACAATCTCTCACCTAGAGAATACTATCTCAGTTAAAAGTTTTATGTAGCCAGATTTAAGTGGTATCTTCAAGTGCTTGGTATTGAGGACAGATAAGATCCAAACAATGAGTGTATAAGCATAATTTAAATATTTTATGAAACCATAATTTACTTAAGTGTAGTTTCTTGAGTAAGCCATATCTGGCTGAATTCACGTACCATAATAAGCAATAACAATTCACTTGGTTTTGATTTAATTGTTTATAAACTCAATGATGTCATCAAGATTTTGCTCAGAGACACCTTTGGTAAATACTGACCTTAATTTAGTTACAGCACAAATTTTGAATCCATCGCTGATGGAACTCTGGTGGAAGAGTTGATTCAACTGGAATCAAATCAAATTAAATCCTATTAAGCTTAAATCTACATTTTAAAATCTCTTGTTGTTTGGTGCACAATAAGTCACTTACACTATGAAAGTTCAGTTATGAAAGAGGTGAGTACCAGAGGTGAGTTTCAGCAGGTTCTGACCAGTTCTGGAAAACTGGTAGCGGAAATTTTGAGTAGTTCGGAGAACCGGTACTAAAAATTCTGACTGGCCTCATCCCTATCTATTCTCTACCTCCCAAGTCCCAGCTGATCGGAGGAAATGGGGATTTTACAGTATATTTCCCTTGGATTGGGGAGGGAATGGAGATTTTACAGTACCCTTCCCCTATAGTGGGTGAGAACGGAGATTTTACAGTATCTTCCCCCTGCCATGCCCACCAAGCCACGCCCACCAAGCCACACCCACAGAACCGGTAGTAAAAATTTTTGGAACCCACCACTGGTGAATACCCAAAACAGATCTGAGAACAAACTGTTCTAGAAGAACTACACTACAGTTGCAGTTTAATAACTAAGTGTTGTATTTTATGATTTAGGATTAATGTATTTTTATGATGACTATGATCATGATTTATCACTTATACCTGTTATGTACAATGAGAGTTTATGCACCAAAGACAAATTCCTTGTGTGTCCAATTACGCTTGGCCAATAAAATTCTATTCTATTCTATTCTATTCTATTCTATTCTATTCTATTCTATTTCTTTCTATTCTATTCTATTCTATTCTATTCTATTCTATTCTATTCTATTTTCTATTCTATTCTACCTTGATTCATTGGACTCAGATCAGTGGTGAAATCCAAATTTTTACCTACCGGTTCTGTGGGCGTGGCTTGGTGGGCGTGGCAGGGGAAGGATACTGCAAAATCTCCATTCCTACCCCACTCCAGGGGAAGGATATTGCAAAATCTTCATTCCCACCCCACTCTGGGGCCAGCCAGAGGTGACATTTACTGGTTCTCCAAATTACTCAAAATTTCCGCTACCGGTTCTCCGAACTGCTAAAAATTTCCACTACCGGTTCTCCAGAACCTGTCAGAACCTGCTGGATTTCACCTCTGATTCAGATACAAAATTTTCACTCTGATTCTATCATTAAATGGAGTAAGATCTGTCCAACTGAGATCATCCCAAAGGTGCTTTTTTCAAGAGGCATCTGGACTTTCTTGTTGTTCTTTGAAAATGTTTCGTTTCTTATCCAAGGAAAAGAAGAAAGTACAGTTGCCTCTTGAAAAAAGCACCTTTGGAACATCCATGACCTGGATGACTGAGAATCTCCATAGATATGTCTAATTGAGAGTTTGCCCATTAAATCAAGATTTAACTATTACACTGAGATTATAGTACAGACAATCAATTTACATCAATGATGTATTTAGACATATGAGGCAGATTGATAAAGTGACATGTTTGAATTTAATAGACCTTCAGATTTAATGGACATTCTTTTCCTGAACTACTTTATTGTTATTATAAAGTTGTAGGTATGTCAGTTTGTGGAAGGAATGGATGCAAATTAGGAAAATTAATTCAAAAACATCTTACAAAAAGAGGGAATTAGAGAATGTGAGAGAGACTTGCAATGGCATTATTTCATGGTAGTTCCCTATCATGTTTCCATTCAGGGTTTGCAGTAGAGGACTTCTAAGTGAAAATCCTCACCTCGTTACTGATGGAACCCATCAATTGCTTATATTCTGGTGATAATGGATTTGTATTAGTCAAGTTGTTGTTGATAATTTTGAAACCAAGCTCATAGCCTACTAGATCTGGAGCTGAATCAGTTGTAGATGGTGAATATCCTAGAGGGAAACAAGAAGTGATCTGCTATTTTTTCTTTTTCTTTCTTTTCCCACTTTGCTATCAAGCAAAATTCAAAGCAGTCATCGTCATGGCTGCTTCCTTGATTATAATTTTTATTATGAATTTTGGTTATAACAGTAAAATCTAGTACAAAGTGAATTTAATGAAAAAAAAAAGAATACAGAAAAGCAAAAAGTGTTTGGAAAACGAAAAAAAGAGAAAAAAGAAAAGTAAGAATATAATGAAGAAAGAGAAAATAAATGTATGAAGAAGTGATTTCCAACCTTTATAACAATATGTTTAAACGAATTCTTCACCCCTAATAAAGTTACTTTTTAATAAGAATTTTATTAAGGACCAAAAAACTAACACAAACTAATAAAGAGTAAAAAAGCAAAGAAAGAAAAGCAAGTGTGAAAAAGAAAAAAGTTTCTAATTTTCTTGGCAGCAAATATAAGTACAGTTACAAAATTGTATCTTACTCTATATTACAAAAAAGTACACTTTTTATTATCAATTTTTTTCTAATCAAAATCACAAATCATAAATGCATTTTTTCTGTTTAATGCAAAAAGTATAGAAGGAATTTCCAGTCAGCCACAAATGTAGATGTTGGGTTTTTTCCTGATCAAAGAAGTTGATTTAGCCATCTTCATTATTCCATCATCTTCACCATCTTTTCCTCTATTGCGGTTAGAGCTGAACTGTTCCACTTTGGAGCATATAATAATCTTGCTGCAGATATCATACATAAATCAAAGTTCCATGGCTTTTTTCTAGTTGCCTGTCCATTGGTCCCAAAAGGAAAGTCGCTGGTTTCAGTTTTAACCTTTACAATCTTCTTTATGTACAGTATGTATTTGCATCCAGCCTTTTTTATTTTTTTACATGTCCACCAAAACATGATTAAAATGTCCCTTCATATTTTCATGTTGTTCCTTCACATTTCCAGCAAATATTCAAAGTGCCTTTATACAATCTAAACAGTTTTTCTGCTGACAGATAGCAATGTACATCATTTTACAAAAATTCTCATTGAGATTACATCCTTATCTAAATTTCAGCCTTTTAGCCACATATTTTCCCATTGAACCATTTGTATATTGTAGCCAAAAACTTTAGCCCATTTTATTATATATTCTTTCATGTGTTCTTTTTCTGAAGTTTCATCAGACATTTATACATTTTAGCAATAACATGTTCATCATTAATAGTACATAGTTATATTTCAAACTCAGTCTCATATTGTTGAAAACCATAAAATCTTTTATCCACTAAAACTTTCTGTTAAGTGTACATAAGAAAAACATTTAACAAGAATATTTTGTTCTCAAATCTTTTCTTGATTTTATTTTATAATCCCCTTGTGAAAAATTTAGTACATCACAATAAATAAACCTCTCATTTCTCTTCTATAAAATGCTTTTTGCATTGAGAGCCAAAAAGGTGTTTTCAGGCAGAATCTATATTTTATTCCACATTCCACATAAATAAATCTTTATTTATTCCACATTCTAAAGAATAGCCCATCTGACATGAGTTCTAAAGTCTACATTCACTTAGCAACATCTTCTTTTATCTGCTCTCTTAATTTTACAAATCTTTCATCCATTCTTTCTTCAAGATCATCAATTTTTTTCCCATCTGATAATATCTATCATTTCTGAAGAAAAGTTTGAAAGTACACACCATGCAACCATTTTTAATTGCTTGACACATTAGGCCAGGTCCATCCTAACCATGAAAGGGTATTTCAAGATTATGACTATTTCTATAAAGTACAGCAAGCAATTTCAATGTTCTAAGGAATTCTGCATAAAATTTATGTGAGGTGATAATCCTCTTTGGGTAGAAATTATTTGCTCTCTAATAGAATAACAATAGCTCAATATAAAATGTCCATCTAGCCCAATGTTTACTTGTAGAAGGTCCTGGGGCATCAGCAGACAAAAGTAAATTTAGAACAGTTACCAGCTCTGGACTACAAAATTCCAAATGACCATGAGGTGTCAATAAGCACTGCTGCCATCTAGTGTTCAACCAGATTTTTGTAATCCAAATCCGGTAGACAGAAAAAAAATTGTAGCCCACTGGTATCTCTTCTTGCTGTCATTGAGACACATCGCCATTTAAGTTCGATAATGTTGGTCAGAACTAATTCAGTGCTGAACAGCCTCAAACGTTTTTAGTCACGAAAGCAAAATTACCATTACTTCTTACCATTAACAAAAAGGCTGTTTGGATCCAGGTTGTACCTCCCCATCTTGGTGAAATGGTTGGTTTCATTTATGAATTTCTGATATATATTGATTGGATCGAAAGTGGGGGCTGTAGCAGCTTTACGATAGCAGCACACACTGTCTACTCCAGTGTACTTCCTCTGATTTACAGATCTGAGAAGGAAAAGATCCAAATAAAAATATATTCACGAGAGGTGTACAGATCATGGAACTGCCTGGCAATCTGAAGTATAAAATGATTATACTTCAGTTCAATTTCAGTTCTATTGTATTTCAGAAACCTATATCCTTGATTCTTTTCTTGACACTGTTTTGTATCATTTTTTCTTCCCACCGGTTAGTTTGCCCCTGTTTATTTTCAAACTCATTTCAAACAAACATTGAAGCAAAGAAATTGTTCGGATGAAAATGAGGGACTGAAGTTTTTTAGAAATTAGAATGGGGATAATAGTGACGTTGAAAAATGGAACTGAAATAAATCATGGGTTCTCTCAAATGTGACAAGATGTTGTGAGAGATCTATATTAGAATCCATTAATCCCCATAGTAAGGCATTTACGGATCACTAAAAAATTTCCAACCCATATTGCTTACCTTAATGTTGATAAACGACAGTTGATCAAATCAGGACCAATGTCGCTCTTTTTCAATATATCTCCTAACTAGGTATAAAGAAAAAAACTATGTAATTATTGCCAATAGTAAAACACTATTGCTGACTATATTATGAAAGTCCTATGTGGAAGACTTATTGGACTAATTGGTCTTCTTACCAACTTATCGAAGAATCGTTGTGTTGTGCTGAAAATCCTTGATGTGGGATTAGCCATTTCTGACCTATAGATCAAATTGGTCGCAGTGAAGTTGACCGTAAAGCATTCAGTTGCCGCTGGAAGTTTGGAGGTGGGAGAAAGAGCTGGAAGAGATACAGTGAATTTCAGATATGGAAATCAGAGTTGATAGCATATAATCAGTCCATCAACACTATTTTGTATTTTGCACTTCCTGTCATGAACACGGGGGGTTCAGTGATGCATAACAGAAGTTTAAGCATATGCTTTTCACAGTTTGAAAGTAACTGTTATTCTCAATCTATTGTGGGTCCAGAAAAGGACAAAAAGGAAGATCAGGGGCTGGAAACCAAATTGTGCAAAAGAAAGATTGATGGATTAAACCTGGAGAACAGAGGATTGAGCAGGACTATGGTAGCACTATTCAAGAATATAAAAGAGTACTTTGCAGAAGGGCATGGCCACCCCAGATCACCCCAACGATGCCCTTGAAGTGATGTCCCAGTGCCTGGAGGCCGTACGGATCTGGATGGGGAGGAATAGGCTCAGGCTCAACCCATCCAAAACCGAGTGGCTGTGGTTTCCGACGTCCCGATATAGTCAGTTGGTGTCATCACTGACTATTGGGGGCGAATCATTGGCCCCCACGGAGAGGGCGCGCAACTTGGGCGTCCTCCTGGATTCACGGCTGTCTTTAGAAGAGCACTTGACGGCCGTGACCGGGAGGATTTTTCATCAGGTTTGCCTGATTCGCCAGTTGCGTCCCTTTCTGGATCGGGACTCGTTACGCACGGTCACTCATGCCCTTGTCACCTCTCGCCTGGACTATTGCAATGCTCTCTACATGGGGCTCCCCTTGAGGAGCACCCGGAGGCTCCAACTGGCGCAGAGTGCGGCCGCGCGGGTGGTAATGGGAGCGACATGGCGTTCCCATGTAACACCTCTCCTGCACGAGCTGCACTGACTCCCAGTGGTCTTCCGGGTGCGCTTCAAGGTTTTGGTTACCACCTTTAAAGCGCTCCATGGCTTAGGACCTGGGTACTTGCGGGACCGACGACTACCACCAATAGTCTCCCACCGGCCGGTACGCTCCCATAGAGAGGGGCTCCTCCGGGTGCCATTGGCCAAACAATGCCGACTGGTGGCCCCCAGGGGGAGAGCCTTCTCTGTGGGGGCACCTACTATCTGGAACGAGCTCCCCCCAGAGATACGGAGGATCCCGGATCTGCGCACCTTCCGCTGTGCTTTAAAGACCTTATTATTTCACCAGGCGGGCCTGGCCTAATTTCCCCCCTCTTTAATAAAAGATTTTTAATATTTAAATATCTTTTAGTATTTTATACATTCAATTTTAAAATTGGTTTTAAAAAGTTTGGGGTTTTAAATTTGTCGGGGCCAAAATTATTTAATTTGATTTTATTCTACTTTTAAATTTTGTATGTATGTGTTTTATTGTTTGGCTGTGCACTGCCCTGAGTCCTTCGGGAGAAGGGCGGTATAGAAATCAAATCAAATAAAATAAATAAAATAAAGTCCCAAGGTGCGGAATAAATTCACAAGGCCATTTCTTGTTCAGTGTTACAGAATAGTTTCTAATGGTCATAATCAGAGTTGGAATATCAGAAATCAGTATCCACTCTCTGTTTGAAGATCTCTATTGAACACACCACTTTGGAAAGTGACATGGTATACCGGTTGAAACCTTTTACTATCTGGAAATTTTTCTAATATTGAACCTGCTCCTACATCCCTGTGGTCTCCACCTATCACATGTGGCAAAAGCCTCTAGAGCAGTGATGGCTAATCTTTTCCAGGCCAATTGCCCAAAGCGCGTGAATTCACATGTGTGCACCTGAACCAAAATGCAATGTGAGTGTGGCCCCTGCACATGCCCCCTGCCCCTGTGCATGTGCATCTCCCCCCACACGCACCCCTGGGTGCCCTGCTGAACCCCCACAATGCAATGCGCATATGGCCCCTGCACATGCCCGTGCCCCGTGCATACACATGCCCCCCCCATGCGTAGCAGAGACCTGACGACCAGCTGGCCAGCAAGAGGCATACGCGCATGAGCAGTGGAGCTGAACTGGGGCAACGGCACACATGCCCAGAGAGAGGGCGCTGCATGCCACCTGTGGCACGCATGCCATAGGTTCGCCATCACAGCTCTAGAGCATATTGCTTTACTTGCTCTGCAATCAGTATATTTGGGACAAGGTTAGACATTTTAGATTGTACACCACAGTTGGAGTCCATGGCTCATGATACTTCTGTAATGTGTACTTACTGGTCTGAGGTGGTGCTTCATGATAATCTGAAATGGAAAGAGAATTGCAAAAATGGAAAGAGAGTCACAAAAGAAGGCACAAGAACACACTAAAATGGGAAATCTTTCTCAAGCTCTCCACCAAGAGAAAAATAATATATGATAAATTTTTCTTACACACTTCCAATTATTCCGGGTCAACAAATCTCAGATAGTTGGGTTTTCAAATAATCCGGAAGGTCACCAAATAGTAGCAGCCTTTAGTTTTAGTAGGCCACTGTGAACTAACTCTATATAAAGTGTCCACCTAGTGGTTGCTTGTAAGAAGGTCCTGGGACAACTTCAGAGGAAAATCATCCAGAAGAACAGAGGCAGCAAGCCTGAACAGAAAAGCTCCAAATAAGTATGAAGTGTTAGTAAACACTGCTTTCATGTACTGGTCATCTAGATTTTAGTAGTGCAAATTTGGTATACCTGAAGAAAGTCTTGCAGCCCTCTGGCATCTCTCCAAGGCATCACAGAGAGAATTGCAAAAATGAAAGGAGTGTCACAAAAGAAGGCACAAGAGCACACTAAAATGGGAAGTCTCTCTCAAGTTCTCCAACATGACAAAAATAAGATACGATAAATTCCTCCTACACACTTGTAGCCCTCTGGCATCTCTCCAATGTATTTCAGAGAGAAACTATCATTTAAGTTACATAACATTGGTCAGAACCGATTCAGTTCCAGCCAACCTGATAACCTCTTTGGTCTTCTTCTTACCGTTAACAAAAAGGCTGTTTGGGTCCAAGTTGTACCTCTCCATCTTGGTGAAACTGTTGGTCTCATTTCTGAATTTATGATATATGTTCACCCGATCAAAAGGGGGAGCAGAAGTGGTTTTACGGTAGCAGCAGACACTGTTTACTCCGGTGTTCTTGCCCTCATTCACTGGTCTGAGAATGAAAACACACAATTTAAGATATATTCAGAGAAGCTGTAGAAAACTTAACAGAAAGAAGGTCGCACTTGGATCTACCTGGCAGGCCAAAAAATAAAAGGTGAGGACTTCCAGTTCAGACTTAATACAGGTCTTCTGTATTATTGCAACCTTGACTATTTTGTTGACAGTGGTTTGTTCCATAAGCGTGGCACCTCACAGTTTTCTTCCCCCTGGTTTAACTATTCAGGACCCCCTCTGGGTATTTCCTAGCTGATTTCATTCTTGAATGGCTCCCTACATTAGAGGGACACAGTTCTACCACCCTCTTTTTGGAGTTTTTCTGTCAGTACTCATGTTTCCTCAAATATAAGACCCGGTCTTATACTTTTTTGCCACCAAAAAAGGCACTAGGTCTTATTTTCAGGGGGTGTAGTTACACCTCGTGGCGACGGCACCAACAGCCCCACCCAGCAGGAGTCTGCTGCAGGCCTACTTCTGCAACCGCTTGCCACCGGTCACATGTGTTGCCCCTGGCCTCCGTTTTCCTGTTATCGGCTGCAGAGGGCTTTCCGGAAGGCCTCTGATGGTGAAACGTGGGCCGAGGGCAACACATGTCAATCCGGACTTCGCTTCTCAGCTGTGGAGGGCTTTCCGAAGGCCTCTGATGGCAGAACGGAGGCCGGGGGTGTGAGGTGCGAGTGGTGGCAAGCGCCCATAGAAGAAGTGGGCCGGCAAGGCAGGTGTTGGGGTGTGCGAGGCCTGGCAAGTAGGGCAGGTCCACCCCCCCATCCCCACCTTAGCTTACTTTTTACCATTGCACCTTGCCCCACCCCCTGCACCCTGGAGTGGGCAGGGAGCTTAATTATGGCTTATTTTGGGGGGCAGGTCTTAAATTGGGCACACATGTAAAAATCAAGCTAGGACTTACTTTTGGGGTAGGTCATATTTTTGGGGAAACACGGTATGTTTAATCTGGTGTTTCATTTTAACTTCCACTTCAAACCTTATTGTGGGAAGGAGTGGATGAAGCTAACCGTAGTGCCTCTAGCTAAGTGCTAGGAACTGAATTTTGAAACAAAGAAATCGTTTGGGATGAAAATGTGGAAGGGAGCCTTTTAGAGATTTGTATATCAATGTGATTTGTTACAGACTGGAACTGAAATAGTTTGCTCAAATATCACTAAATGTTGTGATAAGTCATCCCTATATCAGGGCATTTAGATATCACAGAAAAAATCTCCATTCCCTATTACTTACCTTAATGTTGATAAACTACAGTTGATCAAATCAGGACCAATCTTGCTGGCCTTCAATATCTGTCCCAGCTAAGTTTAAAGGAAAAATTATGTATTTATTGTTGGTAGTAAAATACTATTGCTGACTATTTTATGAAAATCTTATGTGGAAGAGCAACTGGGGTAAGCATGCATTTGTCTCCTCACCAATTTACTGAAGACTCTTTGCGTTGAGATGTAGAGCTTTGACTTGGGATTACTCATCTGTTGCCGATAGATCAAATTATTTGTAGTGAAGTTGAGTGTAAAGCATTCAGTTGCCACTGGAGGTTTGGAAGTGGGAGAAACAGCTGGAAGAGAAATAATGGATCTCAGATAGGGAAACCAGAATTGATGATATATAATCTATCCATCAACCTCTGTTTCGTATCTTGCAGTTCCTGTCATGAACACAGGGTTCAGTGGTGCATTACAGAAGTTTAAGAACAAGCATATGCTTTTCACAGTTTGAAATTAACTATTATTCTTGATCTGTTGTGGGTCCAGAAAAGGGCAAGAAGGACGAGCAGGGACAGGAAACCAAATTATGCAATAGAATATTGATAGATTAATCCTGGAGAACAGAGAATCCTGAGCAGGACCCTTTACATTTCAAGAATGTAAAGGGGTATAATTATACAGAAGGGCATGACCAAGATGCACAATAAATTCACAAGTAAGATTCTTGTTCAGTGTTACAGAATAATTTCTAACGGTCATAGTTAAAGATGGAATATCAGAAATCAGTATCCACTCTCTTTTTGAAAATCTCTATTGAATGCACCACTTTGGGAATTGACATGATACACTGGTTGACACCTTTTACTGTCTGGAAAATCCTACATCCCTGTGGTTTCCACACATCGGTTGTGGCAAAAGCCTCTGGGGCATACTGCTATAGTTGCCCTGCAATGGGTATATTTGGGACAAGGTTGGATGTTTTAGATTGTGTACCACAGTTGGAATCTATGGCTCAAGAAACTTCTATAAAGGTGTACTTACTGGTCTGAGGTGATGCTTCATGATAATCTGAAATGGAAAGAGAGTTGCAAAAATGGAAAGAGAGTCACAAAAGAAGGCACAAGAAGACACTGATATGGGAAATCGCTCTCAAACTCCCCACCATAAGAAAAAGAAGCTACAATAAATTCCTCCTACTTCCAAGTATTCCGTGACAATGAATCTCAAATAATAGGACTGTGAATAGGAATTGTAATAGGATTGTGAAGGTCCCCAAATAGCAGCAGTTTTTGTTTAACTAGGCCACTGTAAACTAAAGTGTCCACCTAGACCAATGATTACTTGTAGGAAGGTCCTGGGACAGCGTCAGGGAAAAATAATCCAGATCAACAGAGCTGAGGTATTTATTAATAAACACTGCTGTAATGTTCTGGCCATCTAGATTTTTGTACCCCAAATTTGGTACAGCTAATGGGAGTCTTGCAGCCCTCTAGCCTCTCTCCATGGTGACCCAGACAGAAACTATCACTGAAGTTACATAACATTGGTCAGAACCGATTCAGTGCCGGCCAACCTCATACTCTGTTCGTCATGTAAGCAATATCTGCTTCTTACCTTTTACAAAAAGACTGTCTGGGTCCAGGTTGTACCTCTCCATCTTGGTGAAACCGTTGGTCTCATTTATGAATTTACGATATATATTCACTCGATCAAAAGGGGCAGCAGTAGCGGTTTTACGGTAGCAGCAGACGCTGTCTACTCCGGTGTTCTTGCCCTCATTCACGGGTCTGAGAATGAAAACACACAACTTAAGATATATTCCAAGAAGCTGTAGAGGACAGTTGTTAGAATGCAGTATTGAAGGCTACTTCTGCTGATTGCCGGCTGACTGTAATTTGGCAGTTCGAATCTCACCAGGCTCAAGGTTGACTCAGCCTTCCATCCTTCCGAGGTGGCTAAAATAAGGACCCAAATTGTTGGGGACAATAGCAGGGGTGAAATCCAGCAGGTTCTGACAGGTTCTGAAGAACCGGTAGCAGAAATTTTGAGCAGTTCGGAGAACTGGTAGCGGAAATTTAGAGTAGTTCGGAGAACTGGCAAATACCACCTCTTGCTGGCCCCAAAGTGGAGTGGGAATGGGGATTTTGCAATATCCTTCCCCCAGGAGTGGGGTGAGAATAGGGATTTTGCAATATCCTTCCCCCAGGAGTGGGGAGGGGATGGAGATTTTGCAGTATCCTTCCGGTGCCACGCCCACCAAGCCACACCACGCCCACCAAGCCATGCCCACAGAACCGGTAGTAAAAAAAATTGGATTTCCCCACTAGGCAATAGGCTGACTCAGTAAACTGCTTAGAGAGGGCTGTAAAGCACTGTGAAGCCGTATATAAGTCTAAGTGGTATTGCTTTCATAGAGGTAAGTTCGCACTTGGATCTACCTGAAAGATTGAAATGTAAAAGGTGACGTCTGCCAGATCAGACTTAATACAGATCTGTTGAATTATTGCGACCTCGATTCTTTTGTTGACACTGGTTTGTTCCATGAGTATGCCACCTCACATTTTTCCTCTCCCTGATTTAACTATTCAGGATCCCCTCTGGGTATTTCCTAGCTGATTTCATTCTTGAATGGCTACCTACATTATAGAGGCACAATTCTATCACCCTCTTTTTGGAGTTTTGCCATCAGTATCTTTAATCTGGTATTATTAAATACTAAATTCCACCTCAAATCTAATTTTGGGAAGGCATGAAGGAATCTAACCAGGGCACCTCCAGTACAGTGATAGGAACTGAATATTGAAGCAAAGAAATGATTGGGGATAAAAATGCAGGAAGGAGACCTTTAGAAAATTCTATATCAATGTGATATGTTATAGACTGGAACTGAAACAAATTATGGGTTCTGTCAGATATGAGTCCATTTTAGAATAATTTCCTCCCCATAACAGGACATTCATGTGTTACAAAAAAAATTTCCATCTCATATTATTTACCTTAATGTTGATAAATTACAGTTGATCAAATCAGGACCAATCTTGCTGGCCTTCAATATCTGCTCCATCTAGGTTTAAAGGAAAAACTATGTATTTATTGCTGGTAGTAAAATACTATTGCTGACTATTTTATGAAAATCTTATGTGGAAGAGCTATTGTGGTATGCATGCATTCATCTCCTCACCAATTTACTGAAGACTCTTTGTGTTGAGGTGAAGAGCTTTGACTTGGGAATACTCATCTGTTGCCGATAGATCAAATTCTTTGTAGTGAAGTTGACTGTAAAGCATTCAGTTGCCACTGGAGGTTTGGAAGTAGGAGAAACAGCTGGAAGGGAAATAATGGATCTCACATATGGAAGCCAGAATTGATGGTGTATAATCTATCCATCAACCTTTGTTTTGTATCTAGCAGTTTCTGTCATGAACACAGGGGGTTCAGTGGTGCATTACAGAAGTTTAAGAACAAGCATATGCTTTTCACAGTTTGAAATTAACTGTTACTCTTGATCTGTTGTGGATCCAGAAAAGGGCAAGAAGGACGAGCAGGGGCAGGAAACCAAGTTGTGCAATACAAAATTGATGGGTTAGCCAGGGGTGAAATGCTCCCGGTTCGGACTAGATCGCCCAATCTGGTAGCGATGGTGGTGGGTGGTTCGGAGAACCGGTAGCAAAAATCCTTGCCCAACTCTCCCCATGCCAAGCTGAGCCACGCAATCATGAGAGGCTTTTTTTTAATTTTTAAAAGCATTTTTTCTACAACCTCTTCGGCCGAAAAATGTTTTTAAAAGTTTTTTTAAAAAAGCCTCTGACGATCGTGCGGCTCACCTCTTAAGGTTGTAGAAAAAATGCTTTTAAAAGTAAAAAAAAAGTTGGCCATGCCCACCCAGTCACATTACACCCCCCCCCCCAACCAAGCCATGCCCACAGAATCAGTAGTAACAAATTTTACATTTCACCACTGGGTTAAGCCTTGAAAACAGAGGCCTGAGCAGCATTATGGTAGAATATTTCAAGAATGTAAACAGAAGGGCATGGCCTGTTGTGTAAATTACCAAGATGAACAATAAATTCACAAGCCAGATTCTTGTTCAGTGTTACAGAAAAAATCCTATTGGTCATAATTGGAGATGGAATATCAGAAATCAGTATCCACTCTATTTCAAGATCCCTATTGAATACACCATTTTGGGAAGTGAGATGGCACACTGATTGAAACCTTTTACAGTCTGAAAAATCTAATATTCAACCTGCTCCTACATCCCTGTGTTCTCCTCCCATGGCTCTTGGCAAAAGCCTCTAGGGCATACTGCTTTACTTGTTCTGCAATTGGTACATGTGGGACAAGGTGGACATTTTATATTAGATACCACAATTGAGGTCCATGGCTGAAGAAACTTCTGTGACATGTACTTACTGGTCTGAGGTGATGTTTCATGATAATCTGAAATGGAAAGAGTTACAAAAATGGAAAGAGAGTCACAAAAGAAGGCACAAGAAGACACTGATATGGGAAATCGCTCTCAAACTCCCCACCATAAGAAAAAGAAGCTACAAGAAATTCCTCCTATACAGAACACTTCCAAGTATTCCGTGACAATGAATCTCAAATAATAGGACTGTGAATAGGAATTGTAATAGGATTGTGAAGGTCCCCAAATAGCAGCAGTTTTTGTTTAACTAGGCCACTGTAAACTAAAGTGTCCACCTAGTCCAATGATTACTTGTAGGAAGGTCCTGGGACAGTGTCAGGGAAAAATAATCCAGAACAACAGAGCTGAGGTATTTATTAATAAACACTGCTGTCATGTTCTGGTCATCTAGATTTTTGTACCCCAAATTTGGTTCAGCTAATGGGAGTCTTGCAGCCCTCTAGCATCTCTCAATGATGACACAGTCAGGAACTATCACTGAAGTTACATAACATTGGTCAGAACCGATTCAGTGCTGGCCAACCTCATACTCTGTTTAGTCATGAAAGCAATATCTGCTTCTTACCATTTACAAAAAGGCTGTCTGGGTCCAAGTTGTATCTGTCCATGTTGGTGAAACCATTGGTCTCATTTATGAATTTATGATATATGTTCACTCGATCAAAAGGGGCAGCAGTAGCAGTTTTACGGTAGCAGCAGACGCTGTCTACTCCGGTGTTCTTGCCCTCATTCACGGGTCTGAGAATGAAAACACACAACTTGATATATACTCAGAGAAGCTGTATAAGATTTAGGATGATTTCACATAGGTAATCTTGCACTTGGACCTACCTGGCAGGCCTAAAAGTAAAAAGTGAAGTATTCCAGTTCAGAATTAATACAGGTTTGCTGAATTATTGCAACCTTGATCATTTTGTTGACACTGGTATGCTACCTCATATTTTTCTTCCCCCGGTTCAACTATTCAGGATCCCCTCTGGGTATTTCCTAGCTGATTTCATTCTTGAGTGGCTCCATGTATTACAGGGGCACAATTCTATCACCTTCTTTTTGGAGTTTTGCCGTCAGTATTTTTAATCTGTTCTTCTTAAATTTTAAATTCCACTACAAACCTGATTTTGAGAAGGCATGGAGGAATCTAACCAGGGCGCCTCCAGTACAGTGATAGCAACTGAATATTAAAGCAAAAAAATGATTCGGGATAAAAATGCAGGAAGGAGTCTTTTAGAGATTTCTATATCAATGTTTCAGTTCACAGACTGGAACTGAAACAAGGGCCTGGTGGCTCAGCAGACTAAAAGCATTGTGATTAACACCAGCTGTCTGCAATTACTGTAAATTCGAATCTCACCAGGCTCAAGGTTGACTCAGCCTTCCATCCTTTCTAAGGTAGGTAAAATGAGGACCCAGTTTGTGGGGGTAATAAGCTGACTTTGTATAAATATACAAAAGTATGAAGGCTATTGCTTAGCGTATTGTAAGCCGCCCTGAGTCTCCGGAGAAGGGCGGCATATAAATCAAAAAAACAAAAACAAAAAACAAAAAACTATGCATTCTGTCAAATATGTCCATTTTAGAATCATTTCATCCCCACAACAGGACATTTATATGTCACGAAAAAAATTTCCATCTCATATTATTTACCTTAATGTTGATAAATTACAGTTGATCAAATCAGGACCAATCTTGCTGGCCTTCAATATCTGCTCCAGCTAGGTTTAAAGGAAAAACTATGTATTTATTACTGGTAGTAAAATACTATTGCTGACTATTTTATGAAAATCTTATGTGGAAGAGCTACTGGGGTAAGCATGCATTTGTCTTCCTCACCAATTTACTGAAGACTCTTTGTGTTGAGATGTAGAGCTTTGACTTGGGAATACTCATCTGTTGCCGATAGATCAAATTATTTGTAGTGAAGTTGACTGTAAAGCATTCAGTTGCCACTGGAGGTTTGGAAGTGGGAGAAACAGCTGGAAGAGAAATAATGGATCTCACATAAGGAAAGCAGAATTGATGGTATATAATCTATCCATCAACCTCTGTTTTGTATCTTGCAGTTCCTGTCATGAACACAGGGGGTTCAGTGGTGCATTACAGAAGTTTAAGAACAAGCATATGCTTTTCACAGTTTGAAATTAACTATTAGTCTTGATTTGTTGTGGATCCAGAAAAGGGCAAGAAGGACGAGCAGGGGCAGAAAACCAAGTTGTGCAATAGAAAATGGATGGGTTAACCCTGTAGAGCAGATGTCTGAGCAGGACTATGGTAAAATTTTTCAAGAATGTAAAGAGGTACTATACAGAAGGACATGGTCTGTTCTATAAATTCCCAAGATGCACAATAAATTCACAAGCCAGATTCTTGTTCAGTGTTACAGAAAAATTCCTATTGGTCATAATCAGAGCTGGAATATCAGAAATCAGTTTCCACTCTCTGTTTGAAGATCTCCAATAAAGACACCATCTTGCGGATTGACATGGTGCACTGGTTTACACCTTTTATCTTCTGGAAAATCTTCTCAATATTCAACCTGGCCCTACATCCCTGTGTTTTCCACCCATGGCTCTTGGCAAAAGCCCGTAGGCCCTACTGCTTTACTTGCTCTGCAATCAGCATATTTGGGACAAGGTTGAACATTTTAGATTGTGTACCACAGTTGTGTTCATGGCACAAGAAACCTCTGTAAAGTGTACTTACTGGTCTGAGGTGCTGCTTCATGATAATCTGAAATGGAAAGAGAATTGCAAAAATGGAAAGAGAGTCACAAAAGAAGGCACAAGAGCACCCTAAAATGGGAAGTCTCTCTCAAGCTCTCCACCATGAGAAAAATAAGAGACAATAAATTCCTCCTACACACTTGTAGCCCTCTGGCATCTCTCCAATTTGTCGCATAACATAACATTGATGAGATCCAATTCAGTTCTGGCCAACTTCATAACCTCTTTAGTCATGAAAACCATCTTCTTCTTACCATTAACAAAAAGGCTGTTTGGGTCCAAGTTGTACCTCTCCATCTTGGTGAAACCGTTGGTCTCATTTCTGAATTTATGATATATGTTCACCCGATCAAAAGGGGGAGCAGAAGTGGTTTTGCGGTAGCAGCAGACACTGTTTACTCTGGTGTTCTTGCCCTCATTCACGGGTCTGAGAATGAAAAGACACAATTTAAGATATATTCAGAGAAGCTGTAGAAAACACCACAGAGGTAAGGTCGCACTTGGAACTACCTGGCAGGCCTAAAAGTAAAAGGTGAGGGCTTCCAGTTCAGAATTAATACAGGTCTGCTGTATTACTGCAACCTTCATGATTTTGTTGACACTGGTTTGTTCCATGAGTGTGCCACCTCACATTTTTCTTCCCCCTGGTTTAACTATTCAGGATCCCCTCTGGGTATTTCCCAGCTGATTTCATTCTTGAATGGCTTCCTATATTAGCAGTTCTACCACCCTCTTTTTGGAATTTTTCAGACAGTATTTTTAATCTGGTGTTTCATTTTAAATTCCACTTCAAACACGATTGTGGGAAGGAGTGGAAGAAACCAACCATGGAGCCTCTGGCGAAGTGATAGGAAGTGAAAATTGAAGCAGGGAAATGGTTTGGGATGAAAAGGAGTCTTTTAGAGATTTGTATATCAATGTGATATGCTACAGACTGAAACTGAAACAAACCAGGGATTCTCTAAAATGGGTCTCTGATCCCTGTCCGTGCCATGTCAGAAACCAGGCTCTGCAAACAAGCAGAGTGGGATAAAGACAACATGCCAAACCATGCCCCCTCCAATCCATGGAAAAAACCTCTCTCCACAGAACCAGTCCCTGGTGCCCAAAATGTTGAGGACTTCTGCTCTAAAATATGACTAGATGTTGTAAGACGTCCATATCAGAATCCTTTCGCCCCCATAAAAGGGCATTTAGGTATCACAAAAAAAAAAATCTCCATAACATATTACCTACCTTAATGTTGATAAACTACAGTTGATCAAATCAGGACCGATCTTGCTGGTATTCAATCTCCGTCCCAGCTGGGTGTAAAGGAAAAATGATTTATTGCTTGTGGTAAAACACGATTGCTGATTATTTTATGAAAATCTTATGATGAAGAGCTGCTCGGATAAGTATGCATTTGTCCCCTCACCAATTTACCTAAGAGGCCTTGCCTTGGTTTAATGAAAAAACTATACATTTATTGTGAATAGTAAAATACTGTTGCTGACTATATTATGAAAGTCCTAAGATAAGAGCTATTGGGTATGCATTGACTTTCTTACCAAATTAACGAAGAGTCGTTGTGTTGATCTGAAAATCCTTGATGTGGGATCAGCCATTTCTGGCCTATAGATCAAATTGGTCACAGTCAAGTTGACCGTAAAGCATTCAGTTGCCACTGGAGGTTTGGAGGTGGGAGAAAGAGCTAGAAGAGATAAAGTGAATCTCAGATATGGAAACCAGAGTTGATGGCATATAATCAATCCATCAATCACTATTTTGTATTTTGCAGTTCCTGTCATGAACACGGGGGGTTCAGTGGTACATTACAGAAGTTTAAGAACAAGCAGATGCTTTTCACGATTTGAAAGTAACTGTTATTCTCGATCTGCTGTGGATCCAGAAAAGGGCAAGAAGCACGAGCAGGGACTGAAAACCAAGTTGTGCAACAGAAAATTGATGGGTTTACCCTGTAGAACAGAGGCCTGAGCAGGACTATGGTAAAAGCTTTCAAGAATGTTAAGGGGAACTATACAGAAGGGCATGGCCAGTTCTGTAAATTCCCAAGATGCAGAATAAATTCACAAGCCAGATTCCTGTTCAGTGTTACAGAAAAATTCCTATTGGTCAGAATCAGAGTTGGAATATCAGAAATCAATTTCCACTCTCTGTTCGAAGATTTCCAATAAATACACCATTTTGGGGATTGACATGGTACACTGGTTTACACCTTTTACTGTCTGGAAAATCTTCTAATATTCAACTTACTCCTACATCCCTGTAGTTTCCACCCATCACCTGTGGCAGAAGCCTCTAGGGTTATACTCCTTTACTTGCTTTGCAATCAGTATATTTGGGAGAAGGTTGAACATGTTAGATTGTGTACCCCCGTTGGCATTCATGGCACAAGAAACTTCTGTAAATTATACTTACTGGTCTGAGGTGCTGCTTCATGATAATCTGAAATGGAAAGAGAATTGCAAAAATGGAAAGAGAGTCACAAAAGAAGGCACAAGACTACTCTCTGAAGCGCTGCACCACAAGAAAAATAAGATAGAATAAATTCCTGCTACACACTTGTAGCCCTCTGGCATCTTTCCAATTTTGTCGCAGAGAGAAACTATCATTTTAATTACATAACATTGATGAGATCCAATTCAGTTCTGGCCAACTTCATAACCTCTTTAGTCATGAAAACCATCTTCTTCTTACCATTAACAAAAAGGCTGTTTGGGTCCAAGTTGTACCTCTCCATCGTGGTGAAACCGTTGGTCTCATTTCTGAATTTATGATATATGTTTACTCGATCAAAAGGGGGAGCAGAAGTGGTTTTGCGGTAGCAGCAGACACTGTTTACTCTGGTGTTCTTGCCCTCATTCACGGGTCTGAGAATGGAAAGACACAACTTAAGATATATTCAGAGAAGCTGTAGAAAACTCCACAGAGGTAAGGTCACACTTGGGTCTACTGGCAGGCCAAAAAGTAAAAGGTGAGGGCTTCCAGTTCAGACTTAATACAGGTCTTCTGTATTATTGCAACCTTGATTATATTGTTGACAGTGGTTTGTTCCATGAGTGTGCCACCTCACAATTTCTTCATCCTGGTTTAACTATACAGAATCCCCTCTGGGTATTTCCTAGCTGATTTCATTCTTGAATGTCTCCCTGCATTACAGGGCCACAGTTCTATCACCTTACTTTTGGAGTTTTTCAGTCAGTATTTTTAATCAGGTGTTACTAAATTGTAAATTCCATTTGAAACCTAATTATGGGAAGGCATGGAGGAAGCTAACCGGGTCACCTCCAGGACCGTGATAGGAACTGAATATTGAAGCAAAAAAATGATTTGGATAAAAATGCAGGAAGGAATCTTTTAGAAATTTCTATGTCAATGTGATATATTACAGACTGGAACTGAAATAAACTATGAGTTCTCTAAAATATGACTAGATGTTGCGAGACTTCCATATCAGAATCCTTTTGCCCCCGTAAAAGGGCATTTAGGTATCACAAAAAAAAAATCTCTATAACATATTACCTACCTTAATGTTGATAAACTACAGTTGATCAAATCAGGACCAATCTTGCTGGTATTCAGTATCCGTTCCAGCTGGGTGTAAAGGAAAAATGATTTATTGCTTGTGGTAAAACACGATTGCTGATTATTTTATGAAAATCTTATGACGAAGAACTGCTCGGATAAGTATGCATTTGTCCCTCACCAATTTACCTAAGAGGCCTTGCCTCGGTTTAATGAAAAAACTATGCATTTATTGTGAATAGTAAAATACTATTGCTGACTATATTATGAAAGTCCTAAGATAAGAGCTATTGGGTATGCATTGACTTTCTTACCGAATTAATGAAGAGTCGTTGTGTTGATCTGAAAATCCTTGATGTGGGATCAGCCATTTCTGGCCTATAGATCAAATTGGTCACAGTCAAGTTGACCGTAAAGCATTCAGTTGCCACGGGAGGTTTGGAGGTGGGAGAAAGAGCTAGAAGAGATAAAGTGAATCTCAGATATGGAAACCAGAGTTGATGGCATATAATCAATCCATCAATCACTATTTTGCATTTTGCGGTTCCTGACATGAACACGGGGGGTTCAGTGGTACATTACAGAAGTTTAAAAACAAGCAGATGCTTTTCACGGTTTGAAAGTAACTGTTATTCTCGATCTGCTGTGGATCCAGAAAAGGGCAAGAAGCACGAGTAGGGACTGAAAACCAAGTTGTGCAATAGAAAATTGATGGGTTTACCCTGTAGAACAGAGGCCTGAGCAGGACTATGGTAAAAGCTTTCAAGAATGTTAAGGGGAGCTATACAGAAGGGCATGGCCAGTTCTGTAAATTCCCAAGATGCACAATAAATTCACAAGCCAGATTCTTGTTCAGTGTTACAGAAAAATTCCTATTGGTCATAATCAGAGCTGGAATATCAGAAATCAGTTTCCACTCTCTGTTTGAAGATCTCTACTGAACACACCATTTTGGGGATTGACATGGTGCATTGCTTTACACCTTTTACTGTCTGGAAAATCTTCTAATACTCAACCTGTTCCTACATCCCTGTAGTTTCCACCCATCGCTTGTGGCAGAAGCCTCTAGGGCAGACATGTCAAACCTAAGGATTGCAGGATTGTAATGGGTTTAGATCTGGCCCGCGCGGCTGTCCTGGTGGCAGCAAGGGCCTGGCTCCTGCCACCTTGGCCCTGGCCCACCTCCACCTGGCCGGGTACTCCCCCTGGATACGCTCCCTGGAGGCGGAAATGCATGGGTACTGGTGGTGCCCAGCAGCAGCTGCATCTCGTTGGTCCCTCGGCTGCTCATTGGCCGGCAGCGATACCCTGCTAGATGTGAGCCTAGGGCATCCATTAAGCGACACTCAGCCCCGTCCCACCTATACTGCACTTGTGCACCTCGGGGTCTGGCAACTAGGCCACCCCTCCCCGCCACCTGCCTTGCCTCGCCTCGGAGGCACTAGCAGCAGCAACAGCAGTGCCTTCCAGCAGAAGCCACTCCGCCCCCTGGGAAGCCTGCGGGCCCAGAGGGGAAGCCGTTGTCGCAGTCCGCTGGGCGAAGTAGCCACCTTGGACCTTTCTCAGCCCAATTTTCTCAGTTGTCACTCCTTTCATCTTGCTTCTTTTCATCAGAGCTGTCTATCTTTCAGTTTGCCTCTTTATTTTGACTTCTGAGCTTTGGGTTTATGGTAGCAGAGCTCCCAGGGTGACATTTTGGTTTCCTTCTCCTCCCTGTCTCCTGCTCAACGCTCCTGTTTGATTGGCACTGCTGCTTTGATTAGCAGATGGGTCCTTATGATGATGGGGAAGGTTTAGGAAAATGGGGACAGAATTAGCACAGGGATTTTTAATCTGCTCAGGTAAACTGTCTTTGTAGACTTTTTGTTGGTGTGCATATACAAAAGAGAATGACTTAGACTAGAGAATGTCTTCCATATGGTACACAGAATTGCTTCCATAAAGTGGTCAAATTCTTAAGTCTTAAGTCTTTAGCACTATAGAAGCAAAGAATGACACAACGGAAAAGAAAAAAAAATCTTCTTTTTGAATTGCATATATAAAGATTCGATTTAAAGCTGGCTGAAGCCACAAATAGCAGCAGTTAGGAAATAGTTGTGAAAATGCTGATTAGACAAATGAATATCCAGGTTTCAATAAATGAAATAAAATGACTAATGAAGAAAAAACAAAGGAAGTAAACCTAAACCTTTGTGTATAGACACCAAAAGTTTCCCTTCAAAAGTTGTTTTCAAATTATTTATTTATTTATTTATTTATTGGTTCGATTTATATGCCGCCCTTTTCCGGAGACTCAGGGCGGCTTACAATGCGTTAAGCAATATCCTTCATACTTTTGTATATACTTGCTTAGTAGGGCTTTCACCACCCACCTAAGCGGTGTTCTTTTTTATACAAAGTCAGCTTATTGCCCCCACAAACAGGGTCCTCATTTTACCTACCTTTGAAAGAATGGAAGGCTGAGTCAACCTTGAGCCTGGTGAGATTTGAACTTGCAATAATTGCAGGCGGCTGGTGTTATCTTAACAGTGCTTTAGTCTGCTGCGCCACCAAGGCTCTATTATTCATTACAATATCAAATGAGTATTAATAAACATGTGGGGAGTAATTTTATTTAATCAAGGTGTTTTTTTTAAAGGCACCAGGCTAGAAACTGGGAGACTGTGAGTTCTAGTCCAGCCTTAGGCATGAGAGCTGGCTGGGTGATTTGAGCCAGTCATTCAGTCTCAGCCCAATCCAGCTGAAAAGGTTGTTGTGTTGTGGAGAAAACAGAAGGAAGAAGGACATTGGGTTTGTTTGGGTGATATGTTGGTTAGTCAATTCCTGTCATAACCAAAGGATCAACACTGAGGAGACTTTACACTTGTAGAAAAAAGCTAGGGAAAAAAAAGATATACTTAATCAAGTATATTTTGCCCTAGTTCCACCTGTTATTTGGCTCAAAGTGTCCACTGTATTTCTCAAATTCATTATATTTTTGTTTTTTTCACACTATGAAAAGCATAATGTGACAATAAAACAATTTGTATAGCTGAATTATATAATTTTCTAAAATATCCTATTATTCTTATAAAGAAAAGGTAAGAAAATGAAAAGGCATCAATATATAAGCCACAAAAAGATAAAAAAACTCATAAAATACCTATTGTAGATAAGATACACAACTTGTGCTCTAGGGCTGACCCAACCAGAACTGAACTATTTTTGTTTCTTATTGCTTCTAAATACTGTATGCAATTTTTTAAAATGTCCATGAATCTTCATGTGTAAATATGATTTTTGAACACTTGTTCTCCAAAATGCTAAATATATTTCTGTTCATGAAAAATGAAACATATTAATTCACTCCTGAACTAACATGATACATAGTCTTACGTGCAACTGGCTCTTTGAGGGCAACTATAATGCTGATGCAGCCCTCAATAAAATTTAATTTTACACCCCTGCTCTAGGGCCTACTGCTTTATTTGCTCTGCATTCAGTATATTTGGGACAATTTTAGATTGTGTACCACAGTTGGCATTCGTGGCACAAGAAACATCTGTAATGTGTACTTACTGGTCTGTGGTGCTGCTTCATGATAGTCTAGAAGGGAAAGAGAATGGGAAAAATGGAAAGACAGTCACAAAAGAAGGCCCAAGATTACTCTCTCAAGCTCTCCACCACAAAAAAAAATAAGATACAATAAATTCCTCCTACACACTTCCAATAATTCAATGTCAACAAATCTCGGATAGTAGGGTTGCAAATTATCCCAAAGACCCCAAATAGTAGCAGTCTTTACTTTAAGTAGACTGTGACTAATTCTATATAGGGTATCCACCTAGTCCAATGATTGCTTATAAGAAGGTTCTGGGATGGCATCAGAAAAAACACATTCAGTAGTACAGAGCCACCACGTGATGGCTCCAATAAATAAATGAATGAACAAATAACCTCTTTAGTCATGAAAGCTATCTTCTTCTTACCATTAACAAAAAGGCTGTTTGGGTCCAGATTGTAATTCTTCATCTTGGTGAAACCGTTGGTCTCATTTATGAATTTATGATACATGTTCACTCGATCAAAAGGGGGAGCAGTAGTGTTTTTACGATAGCAGCAGACACTGTTTACTCCGGTGTTCTTGCCCTCATTCACAGGTCTGAGAATGAAAAGACACAATTTAAGATATATTCAGAGAAGCTGTAGAAAACACCACAGAGGTAAAGTTACACTTGGATCTACCTGGCAGGCCTAAAAGTAAAAGGTGAGGGCTTCCAGTTCAGAATTAATACAGGTCTGCTGTATTACTGCAACCTTCACGATTTTGTTGACACTGGTTTGTTCCATGAGTGTGCCACCTCACATTTTTCTTCCCACTGGTTTAACTATTCAGGATCCCGTCTGGGTATTTCCTAGCTGATTTCATTCTTGAATGGCTTCCTATATTAGCAGTTCTACCACCCTCTTTTTGGAATTTTTCAGACAGTATTTTTAATCTGATGTTTCATTTGAATTCCACTTCAAACCTTATTGTGGGAAGGAGTGCAGGAAGCTAATCATGGAGCCTCTTGCGAAGTGATAGGAAGTGAAAATTGAAGCAGGGAAATGGTTTGGGATGAAAAGGAGTCTTTTAGAGATTTGTATATCAATGTGATATGCTACAGACTGAAACTGAAACAAACCAGGGATTCTCTAAAATGGGTCTCCAATCCCTGTCCATGCCATGCTCTGCAAACCAGGCTCTGCAAACAAGCGAAGCCCCATCTGTGAGATAGAGACAGCATGCCAAACCATACCCCCTCCAATCCATGGAAAAAAATTCTCTCCACGGAACCAGTCCCTGGTGCCCAAAAGGTTGGAGACTTCGGCTCTAAAATATGACTAGATGTTGCGAGACTTCCATATTAGTATCCTTTCACCCCCATAAAAGGGCATTTAGGTATCACAAAAAAAATCTCCATTCCATATTACCTACCTTAATGTTGATAAACTACAGTTGATCAAATCAGGACCGATCTTGCTGGTATTCAATATCTGTCCCAACTAGGTGTAAAGGAAAAACTAATTATTGTTTGGTGGTAAAACACGATTGCTGATTATTTTATGAAAATCTTATGACGAAGAGCTGCTCAGATAAGTATGCATTTGTCTCCTCACCAATTTACATAAGAGGCCTTGCCTCGGTTTAATGAAAAAACTATGCATTTATTGTGAATAGTAAAATACTATTGCTTACTATATTATGAAAGTCCTAAAATAAGAGCTATTGGACTAAGTATGCATTATATTCTTACCATATTAATGAATAATTGTTGTGTTTTGCTGAAAATCTTTGATGTGGGATCAGCCATTTCTGACCTATAGATCAAATTGGTCGTAGTGAAGTTGACCGTAAAGCATTCAGTTGTCACTGGAGGTTTGGAGGTGGGAGAAAGAGCTAGAAGAGATAAAGTGAATCTCAGATATGGAAATCAGAGTTGATGGCATATAATCAATCCAATAATCATTTTGTATTTTGCGGTTACTGTCATGAACATAGGGGGTTCAGTGGTGTATTAAAGAAGTTTAAGAACAAACATGCTTTTCACAATTTGAAAGTAACTGTTATTCTCGATCTTTTGTGGATCCAGAAAAGGGCAAGAAGGAAGATCAGGGGCTGAAAACCAAATTGTGCAAAAGAAAAATTGATGGGTTAAGCCTGGAGAATAGAGGATTGAGCAGGACTATGGTAGGACTATTCAAGAATATAAAGGAGTACTTTGCAGAAGGGCAAGGCCTGTAAAGTTCCAAGATACGGAATAAATTAACAAGGTAGATTATTGTTCAGTGTTTCAGAACAATTTCTAATGAAAATTGTTGGAATATCAGAAATCAGTATCTACTCTCTGTTTGAAGATCTCTACTGAACACACCACTTTGGAGACTGACATGGTGCAGTGATTAACACCTTTTACTGTCTGGAAAATCTTCTCAATATTCAACCTGGCCCTATATCCCTGTGTTTTCCACCCATGGCTCTTGGCAAAAGTCCGTAGGCCCTACTGCTTTACTTGCTCTGCAATCAGTATATTTGGGACAAAGTTGGACATTTTAGATTGTGTACCACAGCTGGCGTTCATGGCACAAGAAACTTCTGTAAAGTGTACTTACTGGTCTGAGGTGGTGCTTCATGATAATCTGAAATGGAAAGAGAATTGCAAAAATGGAAAGAGAGTTACAAAAGAAGGCACAAGAACACATTAAAATGGGAAGTCTTTCTCAAGCTCTTCACCATGAGAAAAATAAGATACGATAAATTCCTCCGACACACTTCCAATAATTCCATATCAACAAATCTCAGATAGTAGGGTTGCAAATTATCCGGAAGGTCCCCAATAGCAGCAGTCTTTAGTTTTAGTAGGCCACTGTGAACTAACTCTATATCAAGTGTCCATTTAGTGCAGGGGTCCCCAAACTTGGCAGCTTTAAGACTTGTGGACTTCAACTCTCAGGATTCTCTAGCCAGCTATGCTGGGAGTTGAAGTCCACAAGTCTTAAAGCTGCCAAGTTTGAAGACCTCTGACCTACTGGTTGCTTGTAAGAAGGTCCTGAGACAGCATCCCAGAACAGTCATCCGGAAGACCGGAGGCAGCAGGCGTGGACTGCAAAATTGCAAATGACAATAAACACTGCTTCCATGTAGTGGTTATCTAGATTTTAGTAGCACAAATTTGGTATACATGAAGAAAGTCTGGTAGCCCTCTGACAACTCTCCATTGGGTCACAGAGAGGAACTATCCCTTAACTTAGTCAGAAGTTAACATTAATCACATTAGTCAGAACCGATTCAGTTTCAGCCAACCTGATAACCTCTTTAGTCATGAAATCCATCTTCTGCTTACCATTAACAAAAAGGCTGTTTGGGTCCAACTTGTAATTCCTCATCTTGGTGAAACCGTTGGTCTCATTTATGAATTTACGATATATGTTCACTCGATCAAAAGGGGGAGCATTAGCTGTTTTACGGTAGCAGCAGACACTGTCTACTCCGATGCTCTTGCCCTGATTCACAGGTCTGAGAATGAAAGGACACAACTTAAGATATATTCAGAGAAGCTATAGAGGACTTTGGATGATTTCACATAGGTAATGTTGCACTTGGATCTACGTGGCAGGCTAAAAAGTAAAAAGTGAGATCTTCCAGTTCTGACTTAATACAGTTCTATCATCCACTTTTTGGAATTTTTCTGATAGTATTTTTAATCTGGTTTTAATTTTTAATTTTAATATGGTTTTCCCAGTTGCAATGTATGGCTGTTAAAGTTGGACCATAAGAAAGACTGAGCGCCAAAGAATTGAGGCCTTTGAACTATGGTGCTGGAGAAGACTCCTGTGAGTCCCATAGACTGCAAGGCGATCAAACCGGTCAGTCCTAGAGGAGATCAACCCTGACTGCTCTTTAGAAGGCCAGATCCTGAAGATGAAACTCAAATACTTTGGCCACCTAATGAGAAGGAAGGACTCACTGGAGTAGAACCTAATGCTGGGAACGATTGGGGGCAAAAGAAGAAGGGGACGACAGAGAACGAGGTGGCTGGATGGAGTCACTGAAGCAGTAAATGGTGAAGTGAGCTTAAATGGACTCCAGAGGATGGTAGAGGACAGGAAGGCCTGGAGGAACGTTGTCCATGGGGTTGCGATGGGTCTGACACGACTTCGCAACTAACAACAACAATAATTTTTAATCTAGTATTTCATTTGAATTGCACTTCAAACCTTATTGTGGGAAGGAGTGGAGGAAGCTAATCGTGGAGCCTCTAGTGAAGTGATAGGAAGTGATATTGAAGCAAAGAAATTGTTTGGGATATAAATGCGGAAGGGAGTCTTTTAGAGATTTCTATGTCAATGTGATATGTTAGAGACTGTTACTGAAGCAAACTATGGATAGTCTCAAATAGATTAAATGTTGCGAGTAATCATCCCCATAACAGGACATTTATGTGTCATGAAAAAAGTCTCCATCTCATATTACTTACCTTAATGTTGATAAATTACAGTTGATCAAATGAGGACCAATCTTGCTGGTCTTCAATATCTCTCCAAACTAGGTTTAAAGAAAAAACTATGTATTTATTGCTGATAGAAAAATACTATTGCTGACTATTTTATGAAAATCTTATGTGGAAGAGCAACTGGGGTAAGCATGCATTCGTCTCCTCACCAATTTCCTGAAGACTCTTTCTGTTGCGCTGAAGAGCTTTGACTTGGGATCACTCATCGGTGGCTCATACTTCACATTCTTTGTAGTGAAGTTGAGTGTGAAACATTCAGTTGTCACTGGAGGTTTGGAAGTGGGAGAAACAGCTGGAAGGGAAATAATGGATCTTAGATATGGAAGCCAGAGTTGATGGTTGTTGTGGTCTGCCGGCGGCCTGCAGAGCTGGCAGCAGAGTCAGACAGTGAGGAGGCTGGGGCGAAACATGGGCCAGTCCTGGAGTCTGGGGAAGGCTCGGACGAGGGCTCTGTGTTGGAGGCAGAGATGGGGCCAGGGCCATCTGGGAGTTATGTGTGGACTCCGGAGCCTTCAGAGATGGACATCAGTGAAGCAAAGGAACAGGGGGAGCCTGTTCCCAGTGCGCGCATGCGCAGAGCTGCCAGAAGGCAAGACCAGTTAAAACAAAAAGGACAACTTAGGAGTAGGGCTTGGAGATGATTGGCCCCTCCCATAAGACATAAAGGAGGAGCAAAGGCACGTGGGCCTTTGTAGGAAGCAATGTTGTTTATTCTGGCCAGTTTAAATTTTGCAGCTCTATTTTGACTCTGTATTCCGTGTGGCCTTGCAAAACTAATTGCCAATTAGGTCTTGACAGCATGTTAAGGGAGATAAAGGTGGGTTCTTATCAGCCTTATCCTGAAGGACTGTGGCACACTTCTGTCAGACTCTTTACAACCATTTGTGACTCAACTGTGAATGAACAGAATTCACAACTGTTGAAATAAAAAGAGCGTTTTTGGGACTAATTGTGTGCTTTTTACTGTCTCAGGAAGCCTAGATCAGAACAGTGGTATATTATCAGCATATAAATCACTGTATTTTGCAGTGGCTGTTATGCCCAGTGGTATTTCAGTATTGGATAATTTAAGATAACAGATCTCAGATACGGAAACCAAAGCCATCTTTCTTTCCTTCCTTCCTTCCTTCCTTCCTTCCTTCCTTCCTTCCTTCCTTCCTTCCTTCCTTCCTCCCTCCCTCCCTCCCATCCATCCATTGTACTTTGCACATCATATCTTGAACTCAGTTCTGTTGTGGATACAGTAACAAGTTTGGCAACTAGGATATAGGTTCCATATTTAGTCTTCTACTTTTGACCATAACTGAGCCCAAAATTTCTGCGGCTAAGCAAGACAGTTATTGTTAAGAGAGTTTTGCCCCATTTTATGACCTCTCTTCAGGGGTGAAATGCTCCCGGTTCGGACCGGATCACCCGATCCGGTAGCGATGGCGGCGGGTGGTTCGGAGAATCGATAGCAAAAATCCCTGCCCCCCCCAATGCCCAGTTGAGCCACGCGATCATTAGAGGCCGTTTTTTTTTTTACTTTTAAAAGCATTTTTTCTACAACCTCTTCCAAAGAAAAAATACTTTTAAAAGTTAAAAAAAAAAGCCTCTGATGATCATTCGGCTCATCTGGGATCGTCAGAGGCTTTTCAAAGCACTTTTTTCTGCAACCTCTTGGCCGAAGAGGTGGTAAAAAAAATGCTTTGAAAAGTCTCTTGCAACTCACAGCTGAGTTGCCTGATTGGCAGAGAGGCTTTTCAAAGCATTAGAAAAAATGCTTTGAAAAGTTAAAAAAAAAAAAGGTGGCCACGCCCACCCAGTCACATTAACTCCCCCACCAAGCCACGCCCACAGAACCGGTAGTAACAAATTTTACATTTCACCCCTGCCTCTCTTGCCACAATTATTAAGTGAGTCACTGCAGTTGTTAAGTAAGTAGCACAGTTGTTACGTGAATCTCGCTTCCCATTGACTTTGCTTGTCAGAAGGTTGCAAAAGTTGATCACATGACCCCATCGTGAATATATAGTTGCCAAGCATCCGAATTGTGACCATGGGGATGCTGCAACAGTCATAAGCGTGAAAAATGATCATAAGTCATTTTTAGTGCCATTGGAACTTCAATTAGTCATTAAATGAATGATTTAAATGGTTTAGAATGGTCAAGAAAGAACTACCTATCATTGCCAGAATGGGTATTGGCCCAGAATGTCCTGCCTATATGTGATATACTCTCACTTATTTTATATCTTGCTGAAATATTTTGCTCCCATCCTATCCAAATGTTTTGATTGTACAGTAAGGTGACCAGATTTTAACATTGGTAAAGCGGGACACTATTGTGGGCGTGGCTTATTTTGTGGGCGTTGTTTGGAGGTCATGTGACTGGGTGGGTGTGGCTAGCTGGTCATGTGACCAGGTGGCCATGGCTATGTGTATAGGGACTACTCAGAGGGCTGAAAAAAGTCATTTTTGACAGGTCCTCGCACTTTTGACTGGTCCTCACACTTATGACCATCCTCACATTTGTGCCCGTGCAGCATTCTTAACAACCATGTCACTTATTTCACAACTGCTTCTCTTCACCATGGTGATAAGATAGGGCAAAAAACGTAAAATGTGAGGACAGTCGTAAGTTTGAGGACTGGTCAAAAGTGCGAGGACCAGTCAAAAATAACTTTTTCAGCCTTCTGAGTAGTCCCTGTGCACAAAAGGACTACCCAGGGGGCTGAAAAAAGTCATTTCTGACAGGTCCTCGCACTTTTGACTGGTCCTCACACTTATGACCATCCTCACATTTGTGCCCGTGCAGCATTCTTAACAACCATGTCACTCATTTCACAACTGCTTCTCTTCACCATGATGACAAGATAGGGCAAAAATGTAAAATGTGAGGACAGTCGTAAGTTCGAGGACTGGTCAAAAGTGTGAGGACCAGTCAAAAATAACTTTTTCAGCCCTCTGAGTAGTCCATATGCATAAAAGGATACAGCAATAGAGAGGGATGAAGGAAGGGAAGGGAAATTAGAGTAGGAGTGAGGGTAAGAGAGGGAGGAAGAGAGGAGGAGAAGGAGAAAGGAAGAGGAAGTAGGGAGAAGAAGAGGATGGGGGAAAAGAAAATAAGAAGGAAAGAAAAGAGAGGTGGTAGGTTTGAGGAGAAAGATTGCTGTACAATAAAAAAGATGAAAGGGAAGAAAGCCAACCCCAAACAAATATAAAGATATTAAGATAAAGAATGAATTGTTAAACTTTAAAGAATAAAAGAGAACAAATATGAATAAATAGCAATAATTAGAAACACACATACAAACATACAATGTATTTTCTTTGAACAGAATATTTGGCTGGTTCACAAATTTAAACAGTGTTTAGTCATTTCAATTAAATTTACAATTTCTATATTTCCTTTTTGCCATATTTATTCCTCATCTATTTTTGTAAAAAACCAATATTACCCTTCATCCTCATCTCTAATCTTAATCAAATTCAATTTTTCCCTTCTATTCTATATTATACCCCTTCCCATTGTCATCTATTTTTATATCCATCCTCACATTGGTTAATTATGTAATTATGTAATACAGTTGTTTAATACAAATTCAACATTTTAATATAAATCAATTAGTTATATAACTATCTTTTTTGTATATTAATCAATATGAACATGAATATTCCAATTATTTCCATGCAATCCAATTTCTTACAAATCAATTAATTATATTTACCAATAATAATAAACCAAATAATTTCCCCCATATATTCCTCCAAACCACAACTTAACCATTTCTGCTTTCAACACAATATACAATTAATAGTATCTCAATTATTACAATTCCCTAGTTAAATAGAGCTTTTTTTCTTTTGTGTTTTAAAATCTTGAACTCTCCTCTTTTGCCCTAAATTTCCCATTGTTTGCAGTTTTTGTACCTACCTTTTTTGGTGAGGAAAAAGAAAAAGATAAAGAAATGTCTCTGCCTCATTTTGCCACGTTGCAGAAAAGACCCTGCTTTACTTTTGCTTTCGCTTTTCAGCCTAGCTAGGGGAAAAAAATCTTTCCAGGAACTCTTTGCTAGCAACAGAACAGAGCCCTGCCCAAAACAGCTGAGAGCAAATCAGCTGAGAGTGGGGAAGCCGAGCTAATCAACTTGTGCTAATTAACCTATGCGGAAGCTGTAAGAGGCTGTTTTTTCTATTTTTGCAGGCATCAGTCTACTCATTTGTTTTCTTTTAACACTGATCAGCTGTAGGGCGGCCCTTTGAAGCCCCACGGCAAGAGTTTAAACAGTTTTTTTCCCTCTAGCCATCAGCTGGGACTCAGGAGGCAGCCGGGACTCAGGAGGAAGAATGAAAAATCGGGACTTTTTTAAAACGCCGCAGGACGAGGGACAAATTGCTAAAAATCGGGACTGTCCTGCCAAAACGTCTGGTCACCTTATTGTACATGTAATCCTCAACCTATGACCAGGTTGCCTCTGTTGTGTGAAGGGCCCCATTTCCTGGTTATGCTGACAATGATGATTGTAATATCTTTTGGCTACTATTTGTATTTAATTTCTTTTTCTGCATTATGTTTTAAGTGTTTTTATAATTGTTTGCTGCCCAGAATCAGTGGTTTGAGATGGGCAGGTGTAACGAATGCATGCAAGAAAGGAAGGAAAGAAGGAAAGAAAAGAAAGAAAGGGAGAGAGAGAGAGAGAGGAAGGAAGGAAGGAAGGGAGGGAGGGAGAGAAGGAAGGAGGAGAGAAACAGAAAGAAAGAAGGAAGGAAGGAAGGAAGGAAGGAAAGAAAGAAAGAAAGAAAGAAAGAAAGAAAGAAAGAAAGAAAGAAGAGGACTCCATCCTCAAGAATTTTCCAGCCAGAGAAGTCATTTTTAAAAATGCTGGGCATTGAAAATCACATATCAGGAAACCATCAAGGTTATGAAAGGCTGATTATTATTTTTCTAAACAAGATTGTCTACTTACTTTCAACTGGTGTTGTGCTAAGTAATGTGGATGCAATATTGGCTTCACTCGTAAAGAGATTTCCTTCAGGAGAGGGGCTAGGGGTGGGGGTAACAGGCCCTGTTGATAGAGAAGAGACATAATCCAGTTGTATTCCAGTTATATTACAAAAATAACGTGTCACTTAGTAATTTAGAACATGTTGCAAATGTTACATGTTACAAGCTTACCTCTCCTTGTCTCTGAAGTAGAAGTTGATATTATATTTGTAGGGGATGTAGAAGTCCTGAAAGTGCCCAAGCTCGTCATACTCATCTCATGAGGACTAACAGATTCTGTTTGGTGTGAGACTGAAGAAATCAAAGTGGCAGTAGTAGAGATCTCTCCACTTACAGGAATCAAAGTTGTTCTCTCCAGAATAGAAGAGGTGGAGAAAGTCACAAGCGATTCTTCCAGTTTCACAGTGCTACTCTCTGGGGAAGATGTGGAGGATACACGACGCTCTGGAGTTGGTGTTGTGGTTTTGGAAATAGAAGAAGTTACTGTGCTCTTTGCTGATGCCGTAGAAGGCAACTGCACTCATTGGAGAGCTGGCTGCTTCTGATGTATGGATTCAGGTGTGGTGGCCTCGGGAGAAGTAGCTAAGAATTGTGTGGTCGTTTCTGAAAGCTAGTAGTCTTGATAGAGCTGAGGTCATTGTGGTCTCTGGGGAGAAGTGCTGTTGCTGTTCTTGCGGTTTCCAACGTGGTGGTTTGTGGAGAAGTAGTTAAGTATTCCATGTGGTTGGAAGTTGAGTAGTGGTTTTTGTTTTACTACTCCTCATTGTGAACTCTCAGGAAAAAGCTCTGTGATCTCTGGTGCACACTGGTGCAGATGTGTGTTTGTGATTGGTGATGCAGTCAAGGTGGTTGCTGATTGCTACCGAGATTGCTATCTCTCTGGAATAGTACTTGTGGTTTCCATCGTGGGAGAAGTCACCATGCTACTCTTTCCTGAAGCTGTCGTGCTCTCTGGAGGAGCCGTAGCTGTTTCTGATCTGATGGATTCAAACCTGGTGGTTCTCCAAAGTGTGAGTATGCTGGGCTCTCCAAAATGGAACCTGTGATTGCCGTACTAGCAGAAGTGGTTATCTCTTTTTCCGAAATTGTCTATGTGGTGTACTCTCTGGAGCAGGGTGATGTTTCCTCAGGGTAGAAAGACGTCTGGAAGCAGTGGGAGTTACAGATGCCCCACTACTTGATGAAGCAGAAGCAGTGTCATTGGCGAACTGGATGGCGGCATGCTAGTCTGTGAAAAAGATGTGGAGGACACTGCGCTCTCTGGAATGGGTGTGTGTGTTTCGGAAATGAAGAAGTTACTGTGCTCTTTGCTGATGCCGTAGAAGGCACTGCACTCATTGGAGAGCTGGCTGCTTCTGATGTGATGGATTCAGGTGTGTGGCCTCGGGAGAATAGCTAAGAATTGTGTGGTGATAGAATGTTGAGTAGTCGTTTCTGAAGAGCTAGTAGTCTTGATAGAGCTGGAGGTTTGTGGTCTCTGGGAAGTGTTGTTGCTGTTCTTGCGGTTTCCGTGGACGTGTGGTTTGTGGAGAAGTAGTTTCCATGGTGGTTGGAAGTTGAGTAGTGGTTCTTTTTTTACTACTCCTCATTGTGGAACTCTCGGGAAAAGGGCTGGATGGCTCTGGGGTCACTGGAGCAGATGTGGTATTGTTTGGAGTGGTGGATGCAGTCAATGGTTTGCTGGGATTGCTACCGAGAATTGCTAGCCTCTCTGGAATAGTACTTGTGGTTTCCATCGTGGGAGAAGTCACCATGCTACTCTTTCCTGAAGCTGTCGTGCTCTCTGGAGGAGCCGTAGCTGTTTCTGATGTGATGGATTCAAACCTGGTGTCTCTGGCAAAGGTGTGGCGTATGCTGGGCTCTCCGAAATGGAACCTGTGATTACCCGTACTAGCAAAAATGGTTATTGCTCTTCTTTCCGAAATTGTCGTATGTGGTGTACTCTGTGGAGCAGAGTGGGACGTTTCCTCAGGGGTAGAAGGACGTCTGGAAGCGGTAGTGGAGTTACAGATGCCCCACTACTTGATGAAGCAGAAGCAGTGGTCATTGGCGAACTGGATGGCGGCATGTTAGTCTGTGAAAAAGATGTGGAGGACACTGCGCTCTCTGGAATTGGTGTTGGTTTCGGAAATAGAAGAAGTTACTGTGCTCTTTGCTGATGCCGTAGAAGGCACTGCACTCATTGGAGAGCTGGCTGCTTCTGATATATGGATTCAGGTGTGGTGGCCTCGGGAGAAGTAGTAGCTAAGAATTGGTGTGATAGAATGTTGAGTAGTCGTTTCTCTGAAGAGCTATAGTCTTGATAGAGCTGGAGGTCATTGTGGTCTCTGTGGGAGAAGTGGCTGTTGCTGTTCTTGCGGTTTTCCAACGTGGTGGTTTGTGGAAAGTAGTTTCCATGGTGGCTGGAAGTTGAGTAGTGGTTCTTGTTTTACTACTCCTCATTGTGGAACTCTCGGGAAAAGGGCTGATGGCTCTGGGTCACTGGAGCACATGATGAGTGTAGTTTGTGATGTGGTGGATGCAGTCAAGGTGGTTGCTGGGATTGCTACCGAGATTGCTATGCTCTCTGGAATAGTACTTGTGGTTTCCATCGTGGGAGAAGTCACCATGCTACTCTTTTCTGAAGCTGTCGTGCTCTCTGGAGGAGCCGTAGCTGTTTCTGATGATGGATTCAAACCTTGGTCTCTGGCAAAGGTGTGGCGTATGCTGGGCTCTCCGAAATGGAACCTGTGATTGCCATACTAGCAAAAGTGGTTATGGTGCTCTTTTCCGAAATTGTCGTATGTGGTGTACTCTCTGGAGCAGAGGTGGACGTTTCCTCAGGGTAGAAGGACGTCTGGAAGCGGTAGTGGGAGTTACGGATGCCCCACTACTTGATGAAGCAGAAGCAGTGGTCATTGGCGAACTGGATGGCAGCATGCTAGTCTGTGAAAAAGATGTGGACACTGCGCTCCCCTGGAATTGGTGTGGTGGTTTCGGAAATAGAAGAAGTTACTGTGCTCTTTGCTGATGCCGTAGAAGGCACTGCACTCATTGGAGAGCTGGCTGCTTCTGATGTGATGGATTCAGGTGTGGTGGCCTCGGGAGAAGTAGCTAAGAATTGTGTGTGCGTTTCTTGAAAGAGCTAGTAGTCTTGATAGAGCTGGAGGTCATTGTGGTCTCTGGGGGAGAAGTGGCTGTTGCTGTTCTTGTGGTTTCCAACGTGGTGGTTTGTGGAGAAGTAGTTAAGTATTCCATGGTGGTTGGAAGTTGAGTAGTGGTTCTTGTTTTACTACTCTTCATTGTGGAACTCTCGGAAAAGCTGATGGCTCTGTGGTCACTAGAGCAGATGTGGTAGTTTGTGATGTGGTGGATGCAGTCAAGGTGGTTGCTGGGATTGCTACGGAGACTGCTATGCTCTCTGGAATAGTACTTGTGTTTCCATCGTGGGAGAAGTCACCATGCTACTCTTTCCTGAAGCTGTCGCTGTCTCTCTGGAGGAGCCTAGCTACTTTCTGATGTGATGGATTCAAACCTGGTGGTCTCTGGCAAAGGTGTGGAGTATGCTGGCCTCCAAAATGGAACCTGTGATTGCCTACTAGCAGAAGTGGTTATGGTGCTCTTTTCCGAGATATGTCGTATGTGGTGTACTCTCTGGAGCAAGGTGGATGTTTCCTCAGGTAGAAAGACTCTGGAAGCATAGTGGGAGTTACAGATGCCCACACTACAGAGATGAAGAAAGCAGTGCATTGGCGAACTGGATCGGCATGCTACTGTGAAAAAGATGTGGAGGACACTGTGCTCTCTGGAATTGGTGGTGGTGGTTTCGGAAATAGAAGAAGTTACTGTGCTCTTTGCTGATGCCGTAGAAGGCACTGCACTCATTGGAGAGCTGGCTGCTTTCTGATGTGATGGATTCAGGTGTGGTGGCCTCGGGAGAAGTAGCTAAGAATTGTGTGTCGTTTCTGAAGAGCTAGTAGACTTGATTGAGCTGGAGGTCATTGTGGTCTCTGGGGGAGAAGTGGCTGTTGCTGTTCTTGTTTCCAACGTGGTGGTTTGTGGAGAAGTAGTTATATTCCATGGTGGTTGGAAGTTGAGTAGTGGTTCTTGTTTTACTACTCTTCATTGTGGAACTCTCGGGAAAAGGGCTGGATGGCTCTGTGGTCACTGGAGCAGATGTGGTAGTTTGTGATGTGGTGGATGCAGTCAAGGTGGTTGCTGGGATTGCTACAGAGACTGCTATGCTCTCTGGAATAGTACTTGTGGTTTCCATCATTGGAGAAGTCACCATGCTACTCTTTCCTGAAGCTGTCGTTCTCTGGAGGAGCCGTAGCTGTTTCTGATGTGATGGATTCAAACCTGGTGGTCTCTGGCAAAGGTGTGCGTATGCTGGGCTCTCCAAATGGAACCTGTGATTGCCATACTAGCAAAGTGGTTATGGTGCTCTTTTCCGAAATTGTCGTATGTGGTGTACTCTCTGGAGCAGAGGGTGACGTTTCCTCAGGGGTAGAAGACGTCTGGAAGCGGTAGTGGGAGTTACAGATGCCCCACTACTTGATGAAGCAGAAGCAGTGGTCATTGGCGAACTGGATGGCGGCATGCTAGTCTGTGAAAAAGATGTGGAGGACACTGCGCTCTCTGGAATTGGTGTGGTGGTTTCGGAAATAGAAGAAGTTACTGTGCTCTTTGCTGATGCCGTAGAAGGCACTGCACTCATTGGAGAGCTGGCTGCTTCTGAAGTGATGGATTCAGGTGTGGTGGCCTCTAGAAGTAGCTAAAATTGTGTGGTCGTTTCTGAAGAGCTAGTAGTCTTGATAGAGCTGGAGGTCATTGTGGTCTCTGGGGGAGAAGTGGCTGTTGCTGTTTTTGCGGTTTCCAACGTGGTGGTTTGTGGAGAAGTAGTTTCCATGGTGGTTGGAAGTTGAGTAGTGGTTCTTGTTTTACTACTCTCATTGTGGAACTCTCGGGAAAAGGGCTGGATGGCTCTGGGGTCACTGGAGCAGATGTGGTAGTTTGTGATGTGGTGGATGCAGTCAAGGTGGTTGCTGGGATTGCTACAGAGACTGCTATGCTCTCTGGAATAGTACTTGTGGTTTCCATCATGGGAGAAGTCACCATGCTACTCTTTCCTGAAGCTGTCGTGCTCTCTGGAGGAGCCGTAGCTGTTTCTGATGTGATGGATTCAAACCTGGTGTCTCTGGCAAAGGTGTGGCGTATGCTGGGCTCTCCGAAATGGAACCTGTGATTGCCATACTAGCAAAAGTGGTTATGGTGCTCTTTTCCGAAATTGTCGTATGTGGTGTACTCTCTGGAGCAGAGGTGGACGTTTCCTCAGGGTAGAAGGACGTCTGGAAGCGGTAGTGGGAGTTACAGATGCCCCACTACTTGATGAAGCAGAAGCAGTGGTCATTGGCGAACTGGATGGCGGCATGCTAGTCTGTGAAAAAGATGTGGAGGACACTGCGCTCTCTGGAATTGGGTGGTGTGGTTTCGGAAATAGAAGAAGTTACTGTGCTCTTTGCTGATGCCGTAGAAGGCACTGCACTCATTGGAGAGCTGGCTGCTTCTGATGTGATGGATTCAGGTGTGGTGGCCTCGGGAAGTAGCTAAGAATTGTTGGTGAAGAATGTTGAGTAGTCGTTTCTGAAGAGCTAGTAGTCTTGATAGAGCTGGAGGTCATTGTGGTCTCTGGGGGAGAAGTGGCTGTTGCTGTTCTTGTGGTTTCCAACGTGGTGGTTTGTGGAGAAGTAGTTAAGTATTCCATGGTGGTTGGAAGTTGAGTAGTGGTTCTTGTTTTACTACTCTCTCATTGTGGAACTCTCGGGAAAAGGGCTGGATGGCTCTGTGGTCACTGGAGCAGATGTGGTAGTTTGTGATGTGGTGGATGCAGTCAAGGTGGTTGCTGGGATTGCTACAGAGACTGCTATGCTCTCTGGAATAGTACTTGTGGTTTCCATCATGGGAGAAGTCACCATGCTACTCTTTCCTGAAGCTGTCGTGCTCTCTGGAGGAGCCGTAGCTGTTTCTGATGTGATGGATTCAAACCTGGTGGTCTCTGGCAAAGGTGTGGAGTATGCTGGGCTCTCCAAAATGGAACCTGTGATTGCCGTACTAGCAGAAGTGGTTATGGTGCTCTTTTCCGAAATTGTCGTATGTGGTGTACTCTCTGGAGCAGAGGTGGATGTTTCCTCAGGGGTAGAAAGAGACGTCTGGAAGCAGTAGTGGGAGTTACAGATGCCCCACTACTTGATGAAGCAGAAGCAGTGGTCATTGGCGAACTGGATGGCGGCATGCTAGTCTGTGAAAAAGATGTGGAGGACACTGCGCTCTCTGGAATTGGTGTGGTGGTTTCGGAAATAGAAGAAGTTACTGTGCTCTTTGCTGATGCCGTAGAAGGCACTGCACTCATTGGAGAGCTGGCTGCTTCTGATGTGATGGATTCAGGTGTGGTGGCCTCTGGAGAAGTAGCTAAGAATTGTGTGGTCGTTTCTGAAGAGCTAGTAGTCTTGATAGAGCTGGAGGTCATTGTGGTCTCTGGGGAGAAGTGGCTGTTGCTGTTTTTGCGGTTTCCAACGTGGTGGTTTGTGGAGAAGTAGTTTCCATGGTGGTTGGAAGTTGAGTAGTGGTTCTTGTTTTACTACTCCTCATTGTGGAACTCTCGGGAAAAGGGCTGGATGGCTCTGGGGTCACTGGAGCAGATGTGGTAGTTTGTGATGTGGTGGATGCAGTCAAGGTGGTTGCTGGGATTGCTACAGAGATTGCTATGCTCTCTGGAATAGTACTTGTGGTTTCCATCATGTGGAGAAGTCACCATGCTACTCTTTCCTGAAGCTGTCGTGCTCTCTGGAGGAGCCGTAGCTGTTTCTGATGTGATGGATTCAAACCTGGTGGTCTCTGGCAAAGGTGTGGCGTATGCTGGGCTCTCCGAAATGGAACCTGTGATTGCCATACTAGCAAAAGTGGTTATGGTGCTCTTTTCCGAAATTGTCGTATGTGGTGTACTCTCTGGAGCAGAGGTGGACGTTTCCTCAGGGGTAGAAGGACGTCTGGAAGCGGTAGTGGGAGTTACAGATGCCCCACTACTTGATGAAGCAGAAGCAGTGGTCATTGGCGAACTGGATGGCGGCATGCTAGTCTGTGAAAAAGATGTGGAGGACACTGCGCTCTCTGGAATTGGTGTGGTGGTTTCGGAAATAGAAGAAGTTACTGTGCTCTTTGCTGATGCCGTAGAAGGCACTGCACTCATTGGAGAGCTGGCTGCTTCTGATGATGATGGATTCAGGTGTGGTGGCCTCGGGAGAAGTAGCTAAGAATTGTGTGGTGATAGAATGTTGAGTAGTCGTTTCTGAAGAGCTAGTAGTCTTGATAGAGCTGGAGGTCATTGTGGTCTCTGTGGGAGAAGTGGCTGTTGCTGTTCTTGCGGTTTCCAACGTGGTGGTTTGTGGAGAAGTAGTTTCCATGGTGGTTGGAAGTTGAGTAGTGGTTCTTGTTTTACTACTCCTCATTGTGGAACTCTCGGGAAAAGGCTGGATGGCTCTGGGGTCACTGGAGCAGATGTGGTAGTTTGTGATGTGGTGGATGCAGTCAAGGTGGTTGCTGGGATTGCTACCGAGATTGCTATGCTCTCTGGAATAGTACTTGTGGTTTCCATCGTGGGAGAAGTCACCATGCTACTCTTTCCTGAAGCTGTCGTGCTCTCTGGAGGAGCCGTAGCTGTTTCTGATGTGATGGATTCAAACCTGGTGGTCTCTGGCAAAGGTGTGGCGTATGCTGGGCTCTCCGGAAGAACCTGTGATTGCCATACTAGCAAAAGTGGTTATGGTGCTCTTTTCCGAAATTGTCGTATGTGGTGTACTCTGTGGAGCAGAGGTGGACGTGTTCCTCAGGGGTAGAAGGACGTCTGGAAGCGGTAGTGGGAGTTACAGATGCCCCACTACTTGATGAAGCAAGCAGTGGCAGAAGCAGTGGTCATTGGCGAACTGGATGGCAGCATGCTAGTCTGTGAAAAAGATGTGGAGGACACTGCGCCCTGGAATTGGTGTGGTGGTTTCGGAAATAGAAGAAGTTACTGTGCTCTTTGCTGATGCCGTAGAAGGCACTGCACTCATTGGAGAGCTGGCTGCTTCTGATGTGATGGATTCAGGTGTGGTGGCCTCGGGAGAAGTAGCTAAGAATTGTGTGGTCGTTTCTGAAGAGCTAGTAGTCTTGATAGAGCTGGAGGTCATTGTGGTCTCTGGGGGAGAAGTGGCTGTTGCTGTTCTTGTGGTTTCCAACGTGGTGGTTTGTGGAGAAGTAGTTAAGTATTCCATGGTGGTTGGAAGTTGAGTAGTGGTTCTTGTTTTACTACTCTTCATTGTGGAACTCTCGGGAAAAGGGCTGGATGGCTCTGTGGTCACTAGAGCAGATGTGGTAGTTTGTGATGTGGTGGATGCAGTCAAGGTGGTTGCTGGGATTGCTACGGAGACTTGCTATGCTCTCTGGAATAGTACTTGTGGTTTCCATCGTGGGAGAAGTCACCATGCTACTCTTTCCTGAAGCTGTCGTGCTCTCTGGCTCCTGTAGAGCCGTAGCTGTTTCTGATGTGATGGATTCAAACCTGGTGGTCTCTGGCAAAGGTGTGGAGTATGCTGGGCTCTCCAAAATGGAACCTGTGATTGCCGTACTAGCAGAAGTGGTTATGGTGCTCTTTTCCGAAATTGTCGTATGTGGTGTACTCTCTGGAGCAGAGGTGGATGTTTCCTCAGGGGTAGAAAGACGTCTGGAAGCAGTAGTGGGAGTTACAGATGCCCCACTACTTGATGAAGCAGAAGCAGTGGTCATTGGCGAACTGGATGGCGGCATGCTAGTCTGTGAAAAAGATGTGGAGGACACTGCGCTCTCTGGAATTGGTGTGGTGGTTTCGGAAATAGAAGAAGTTACTGTGCTCTTTGCTGATGCCGTAGAAGGCACTGCACTCATTGGAGAGCTGGCTGCTTCTGATGTGATGGATTCAGGTGTGGTGGCCTCTGGAGAAGTAGCTAAGAATTGTGTGGTCGTTTCTGAAGAGCTAGTAGTCTTGATAGAGCTGGAGGTCATTGTGGTCTCTGGGGGAGAAGTGGCTGTTGCTGTTTTTGCGGTTTCCAACGTGGTGGTTTGTGGAGAAGTAGTTTCCCATGGTGGTTGGAAGTTGAGTAGTGGTTCTTGTTTTACTACTCCTCATTGTGGAACTCTCGGGAAAAGGGCTGGATGGCTCTGGGTCACTGGAGCAGATGTGGTAGTTTGTGATGTGGTGGATGCAGTCAAGGTGGTTGCTGGGATTGCTACGAGATTGCTATGCTCTCTGGAATAGTACTTGTGGTTTCCATCATGGGAGAAGTCACCATGCTACTCTTTCCTGAAGCTGTCGTGCTCTCTGGAGGAGCCGTAGCTGTTTCTGATGTGATGGATTCAAACCTGGTGGTCTCTGGCAAAGGTGTGGCGTATGCTGGGCTCTCCGAAATGGAACCTGTGATTGCCATACTAGCAAAAGTGGTTATGGTGCTCTTTTCCGAAATTGTCGTATGTGGTGTACTCTCTGGAGCAGAGGTGGACGTTTCCTCAGGGGTAGAAGGACGTCTGGAAGCGGTAGTGGGAGTTACAGATGCCCCACTACTTGATGAAGCAGAAGCAGTGGTCATTGGCGAACTGGATGGCGGCATGCTAGTCTGTGAAAAAGATGTGGAGGACACTGCGCTCTCTGGAATTGGTGTGGTGGTTTCGGAAATAGAAGAAGTTACTGTGCTCTTTGCTGATGCCGTAGAAGGCACTGCACTCATTGGAGAGCTGGCTGCTTCTGATGTGATGGATTCAGGTGTGGTGGCCTCGGGAGAAGTAGCTAAGAATGTGTGGTGATAGAATGTTGAGTAGTCGTTTCTGAAGAGCTAGTAGTCTTGATAGAGCTGGAGGTCATTGTGGTCTCTGGGGGAGAAGTGGCTGTTGCTGTTCTTGCGGTTTCCAACGTGGTGGTTTGTGGAGAAGTAGTTTCCATGGTGGTTGGAAGTTGAGTAGTGGTTCTTGTTTTACTACTCCTCATTGTGGAACTCTCGGGAAAAGGGCTGGATGGCTCTGGGGTCACTGGAGCAGATGTGGTAGTTTGTGATGTGGTGGATGCAGTCAAGGTGGTTGCTGGGATTGCTACCGAGATTGCTATGCTCTCTGGAATAGTACTTGTGGTTTCCATCGTGGGAGAAGTCACCATGCTACTCTCTTTCCTGAAGCTGTCGTGCTCTCTGGAGGAGCCGTAGCTGTTTCTGATGTGATGGATTCAAACCTGGTGGTCTCTGGCAAAGGTGTGGCGTATGCTGGGCTCTCCGAAATGGAACCTGTGATTGCCGTACTAGCAAAAATGGTTATGGTGCTCTTTTCCGAAATTGTTGTATGTGGTGTACTCTGTGGAGCAGAGGTGGACGTTTCCTCAGGGTAGAAGGACGTCTGGAAGCGGTAGTGGGAGTTACAGATGCCCCACTACTTGATGAAGCAGAAGCAGTGGTCATTGGCGAACTGGATGGCGGCATGCTAGTCTGTGAAAAAGATGTGGAGGACACTGCGCTCTCTGGAATTGGTGTGGTGGTTTCGGAAATAGAAGAAGTTACTGTGCTCTTTGCTGATGCCGTAGAAGGCACTGCACTCATTGGAGAGCTGGCTGCTTCTGATATGATGGATTCAGGTGTGGTGGCCTCGGGAGAAGTAGCTAAGAATTGTGTGGTGATAGAATGTTGAGTAGTCGTTTCTGAAGAGCTAGTAGTCTTGATAGAGCTGGAGGTCATTGTGGTCTCTGTGGGAGAAGTGGCTGTTGCTGTTCTTGCGGTTTCCAACGTGGTGGTTTGTGGAGAAGTAGTTTCCATGGTGGTTGGAAGTTGAGTAGTGGTTCTTGTTTTACTACTCCTCATTGTGGAACTCTCGGGAAAAGGGCTGGATGGCTCTGGGTCACTGGAGCAGATGTGGTAGTTTGTGATGTGGTGGATGCAGTCAAGGTGGTTGCTGGGATTGCTACCGAGATTGCTATGCTCTCTGGAATAGTACTTGTGGTTTCCATCGTGGGAGAAGTCACCATGCTACTCTTTCCTGAAGCTGTCGTGCTCTCTGGAGGAGCCGTAGCTGTTTCTGATGTGATGGATTCAAACCTGGTGGTCTCTGGCAAAGGTGTGGCGTATGCTGGGCTCTCCGAAATGGAACCTGTGATTGCCATACTAGCAAAAGTGGTTATGGTGCTCTTTTCCGAAATTGTCGTATGTGGTGTACTCTGTGGAGCAGAGGTGGAACGTTTCCTCAGGGGTAGAAGGACGTCTGGAAGCGGTAGTGGGAGTTACAGATGCCCCACTACTTGATGAAGCAGAAGCAGTGGTCATTGGCGAACTGGATGGCAGCATGCTAGTCTGTGAAAAAGATGTGGAGGACACTGCGCTCCCTGGAATTGGTGTGGTGGTTTCGGAAATAGAAGAAGTTACTGTGCTCTTTGCTGATGCCGTAGAAGGCACTGCACTCATTGGAGAGCTGGCTGCTTCTGATGTGATGGATTCAGGTGTGGTGGCCTCGGGAGAAGTAGCTAAGAATTGTGTGGTCGTTTCTGAAGAGCTAGTAGTCTTGATAGAGCTGGAGGTCATTGTGGTCTCTGGGGGAGAAGTGGCTGTTGCTGTTCTGTTCGGTTTCCAACGTGGTGGTTTGTGGAGAAGTAGTTAAGTATTCCATGGTGGTTGGAAGTTGAGTAGTGGTTCTTGTTTTACTACTCCTCATTGAACTCTCTCGGGAAAAGGGCTGGATGGCTCTGAGGTCACTGGAGCAGATGTGGTAGTTTGTGATGTGGTGGATGCAGTCAAGGTGGTTGCTGGGATTGCTACCGGATTGCTATGCTCTCTGGAATAGTACTTGTGGTTTCCATCGTGGGAGAAGTCACCATGCTACTCTTTCCTGAAGCTGTCGTGCTCTCTGGAGGAGCCGTAGCTGTTTCTGATGTGATGGATTCAAACCTGGTGGTCTCTGGCAAAGGTGTGGAGTATGCTGGGCTCTCCGAAATGGAACCTGTGATTGCCGTAATAGCAGAAGTCGTTATGGTGCTCTTTTCCGAAATTGTCGTATGTGGTGTACTCTCTGGAGCAGAGGTAGACGTTTCCTCAGGGGTAGAAGGACGTCTGGAAGCGGTAGTGGGAGTTACAGATGCCCCACTACTTGATGAAGCAGAAGCAGTGGTCATTGGCGAACTGGATGGCGGCATGCTAGTCTGTGAAAAAGATGTGGAGGACACTGTGCTCTCTGGAATTGGTGTGGTGGTTTCGGAAATAGAAGAAGTTACTGTGCTCTTTGCTGATGCCGTAGAAGGCACTGTACTCATTGGAGAGCTGGCTGCTTCTGATGTGATGGATTCAGGTGTGGTGGCCTCGGGAGAAGTAGCTAAGAATTGTGTGGTGATAGAATGTTGAGTAGTCGTTTCTGAAGAGCTAGTAGTCTTGATAGAGCTGGAGGTCATTGTGGTCTCTGGGGGAGAAGTGGCTGTTGCTGTTCTTGCGGTTTCCAACGTGGTGATTTGTGGAGAAGTAGTTAAGTATTCCATGGTGGTTGGAAGTTGAGTAGTGGTTCTTGTTTTACTACTCCTCATTGTGGAACTCTCGGGAAAAGGGCTGGATGGCTCTGTGGTCACTAGAGCAGATGTGGTAGTTTGTGATGTGGTGGATGCAGTCAAGATGGTTGCTGGGATTGCTACGGAGACTGCTATGCTCTCTGGAATAGTACTTGTGGTTTCCATCATGGGAGAAGTCACCATGCTACTCTTTCCTGAAGCTGTCGTGCTCTCTGGAGGAGCCGTAGCTGTTTCTGATGTGATGGATTCAAACCTGGTGGTCTCTGGCAAAGGTGTGGAGTATGCTGGGCTCTCCGAAATGGAACCTGTGATTGCCGTACTAGCAGAAGTGGTTATGGTGCTCTTTTCCGAAATTGTCGTATGTGGTGTACTCTCTGGAGCAGAGGTGGACGTTTCCTCAGGGGTAGAAAGACGTCTGGAAGCGGTAGTGGGAGTTACAGATGCCCCACTACTTGATGAAGCAGAAGCAGTGGTCATTGGCGAACTGGATGGCGGCATGCTAGTCTGTGAAAAAGATGTGGAGGACACTGCGCTCTCTGGAATTGGTGTCGTGGTTTCGGAAATAGAAGAAGTTACTGTGCTCTTTGCTGATGCCGTAGAAGGCACTGCACTCATTGGAGAGCTGGCTGCTTCTGATGTGATGGATTCAGGTGTGGTGGCCTCGGGAGAAGTAGCTAAGAATTGTGTGGTCGTTTCTGAAGAGCTAGTAGTCTTGATAGAGCTGGAGGTCATTGTGGTCTCTGGGGAGAAGTGGCTGTTGCTGTTCTTGTGGTTCCAACGTGGTGGTTTGTGGAGAAGTAGTTAAGTATTCCATGGTGGTTGGAAGTTGAGTAGTGGTTCTTGTTTTACTACTCCTCATTGTGGAACTCTCGGGAAAAGGGCTGGATGGCTCTGAGGTCACTGGAGCAGATGTGGTAGTTTGTGATGTGGTGGATGCAGTCAAGGTGGTTGCTGGGATTGCTACCGAGATTGCTATGCTCTCTGGAATAGTACTTGTGGTTTCCATCGTGGGAGAAGTCACCATGCTACTCTTTCCTGAAGCTGTCGTGCTCTCTGGAGGAGCCGTAGCTGTTTCTGATGTGATGGATTCAAACCTGGTGGTCTCTGGCAAAGGTGTGGAGTATGCTGGGCTCTCCGAAATGGAACCTGTGATTGCCGTAATAGCAGAAGTCGTTATGGTGCTCTTTTCCGAAATTGTCGTATGTGGTGTACTCTCTGGAGCAGAGGTGGACGTTTCCTCAGGGGTAGAAGGACGTCTGGAAGCGGTAGTGGGAGTTACAGATGCCCCACTACTTGATGAAGCAGAAGCAGTGGTCATTGGCGAACTGGATGGCGGCATGCTAGTCTGTGAAAAAGATGTGGAGGACACTGCGCTCTCTGGAATTGGTGTGGTGGTTTCGGAAATAGAAGAAGTTACTGTGCTCTTTGCTGATGCCGTAGAAGGCATTGTACTCATTGGAGAGCTGGCTGCTTCTGATGTGATGGATTCAGGTGTGGTGGCCTCGGGAGAAGTAGCTAAGAATTGTGTGGTGATAGAATGTTGAGTAGTCGTTTCTGAAGAGCTAGTAGTCTTGATAGAGCTGGAGGTCATTGTGGTCTCTGGGGGAGAAGTGGCTGTTGCTGTTCTTGCGGTTTCCAACGTGGTGATTTGTGGAGAAGTAGTTAAGTATTCCATGGTGGTTGGAAGTTGAGTAGTGGTTCTTGTTTTACTACTCCTCATTGTGGAACTCTCGGGAAAAGGGCTGGATGGCTCTGTGGTCACTAGAGCAGATGTGGTAGTTTGTGATGTGGTGGATGCAGTCAAGGTGGTTGCTGGGATTGCTACGGAGACTGCTATGCTCTCTGGAATAGTACTTGTGGTTTCCATCATGGGAGAAGTCACCATGCTACTCTTTCCTGAAGCTGTCGTGCTCTCTGGAGGAGCCGTAGCTGTTTCTGATGTGATGGATTCAAACCTGGTGGTCTCTGGCAAAGGTGTGGAGTATGCTGGGCTCTCCGAAATGGAACCTGTGATTGCCGTACTAGCAGAAGTGGTTATGGTGCTCTTTTCCGAAATTGTCGTATGTGGTGTACTCTCTGGAGCAGAGGTGGACGTTTCCTCAGGGGTAGAAAGACGTCTGGAAGCGGTAGTGGGAGTTACAGATGCCCCACTACTTGATGAAGCAGAAGCAGTGGTCATTGGCGAACTGGATGGCGGCATGCTAGTCTGTGAAAAAGATGTGGAGGACACTGCGCTCTCTGGAATTGGTGTCGTGGTTTCGGAAATAGAAGAAGTTACTGTGCTCTTTGCTGATGTCGTAGAAGGCACTGACTCATTGGAGAGCTGGCTGCTTCTGATATGATGGATTCAGGTGTGGTGGCCTCGGGAGAAGTAGCTAAGAATTGTGTGGTAATAGAATGTTTAGTAGTCGTTTCTGATGTGACGGATTCAAACCTGGTCGTCTCTGGCAAAGGTGTGGAGTATGCTGTACTCTGTGGTGTTTTGGTTTCTAACGTGGTGGCTTCTGAAGTGCTCATAGCCTTCGTAGAGCTGATTGTAGAAAAATTGGATGGCACTGTGCTCTTTATAGAAGACGTGGCTGTTTCTGATTTGGTGTATACATTAGTTGTATACACCATATTTTCTTTGCTTGTAGTAGTGGAGGATGTTTCAATTGTAGGTGTTCCCTTTACTCTTCCTGTTGGTGCTGAAAGGATATAAATACTTGGGATTAAATTAAAGTAGTATGAAGGACAGAACAAAAGTTCTAAACAGCAATTTGCTAATAGAACACAAAACATAGCAAAGTTTTCATTCTTTTTGCTCTCATGACTGTTTCTTTACTTTTTGATCCTTTTACCATGCAGATCGTTTTGTATGGTAATGCTATGGATTTCCTTACAATAAGCACCAATTTTATTGCTTCCTTCATCAATTTGATTAAGTATATTAATTCCCTCTGTAGTTGTTTGGGGCATTTGTCAGTCTTTCCCTGTCTTATTTTTCTTAGCTACTGATTTTCATGAGGTTAGGCAAAGATATTCAGCTATACTTATTATAATTGAATATATATATTGGTTGTATATTTCATCTTTCATTTAAATATCCCCCCTTCTTCCTATTTTTCTCACAAAATTCTATTTGTTATGTTGGGGTGAGGGAGAAAGATTGGGCTAAATTCACCAGAAAGCTTCTGTGACTGCAGAGGGTTAAGCATTGTACCACATTGTCTCAGAATTTCACCAGAGAAGTTGGAAACTGAGAACTTGCATGCAGTGATGTGGTCTATCCTTAAGTGAAGGCCTTTTCGCTATAAGTCAGTGAAGGCTAACCTTTTTTTCCTCGGGTGCCAAAAGCGCGTGCCTCTGTGCAACAGTGCGCGCGTGCCTGCCCACATCCATAATGCAATGCCTCCCGCGTGCCCCGCCCCCCTGTACATGCATGCTCGTGCCCCATGTTGCCCCACCCCCTGTGCATGCACGCGCATGCTCCATGTTTCCCTGCCCCCTGCACATGCACGCATGACTCCCCCACCCCCATGCTCCCCCGCCCCCTTCACACATGCCGGTGCCCCCACTGGCCCATTTTTGGTCCCAGGAGGCTTCAGGGAGGCCTGCTAGGCCCAGAATCGGGCGTTGGGAGGCACGTCGTATCCCCTTGCCCCCCCGTGCATGTGCGCATGACCCCCCCTGTCATGTGTGCACAACCCACCCACCCAGTCCCCCCCGACCTGCGCGGGTGTCTCCACAGACCAGTCAGCTGGCCAGCGGGAGGTATGTGTGCATGCACAGTGGAGCTGACCTAGGGCGACGGCTCGCGTGCCTGCAGAGATGGCTCCGCATGCCACCTGTGGCACCTGTGCCATAGGTTCGCCATCACGGCTATAGGTAGTCCTCATTTTATAACCTCAGTTGGGACCAGCAGTTCAATCATTAAGTGAAGCATTCACTAAGTGAAACTGTGATGATCTTCAACTATTCCTTGATTATTAGAGCTGTGAAGGTTGTAAATGCAAGGATTGCTTGCAAAGTTACTTTTTCATCCCATCAATACTACAATGGTAACTAAATAAGTTAGTCACTAAACAAAGATTACCCTTATAAAAGTCCTAAATAAAGGGCAAAAAACCCCATAATCATCTGACGATACATTTCTTCAGTCCTTCACTCAGCAGAAAAATATACCAGCATAAATTACATTGCCTGATGGTTTAGTTCAGTTCTTTCTTAGCATCAGGGCTGGGAAAAGGTACCGTTCTTACAACTGTAATTCAGGACAAATTAAGGGCCTCAAATAGTGGATTACTTCAGTGGTGGGTTTCAAAATTTTTTACTACCAGTTCTGTGGGTGTGGCTTAGTGGGTGTGGCATGGCTTGGTGGGCATGGCTTGGTGGGCATGGCAGGGGAAGGATACTGTAAAATCTCCATTCCCACCCCACTCCAGGGCAAGGATACTGTAAAATCTCCATTCCTCTCCAATCCAATGGAAGAGGAAAATACACAAAATACGCAAAATCCTCATTTCAAGGTGTTGGTGACTACCTTTAGAGCGCTCCGTGGCTTAGGGCCTGGATATTTACGGGACCACCTTCTGTCACTGAGAGCCTCCCACCAGCCAGTACTCTCCCACAGAGAGGGGCTCCTCCGGTTGCCGTTGGCCAAACAATGCCGACTGGCGGCCCCCAGGGGGAGAGCTTTCTCTGTGGGAGCACCTGCCCTCTGGAACGAGCTCCCCCCCGGAGATACGGACGATTCCGGACTTACGTACTTTCCGTCGGGCCCTCAAAACCTTTTTATTTCATCAAGTTGGGCTGGCCTAATCTCTCCAATTGTGTATTTTAATTTGGATTTTTAATGGGGGATTTTAACTGTCGGGCCAAAATGTTTAATTTATTTTTAAATTGTTTTTAAATTTTATATTTGATGTTTTTTACTTCTGGCTGTTCACTGCTCTGAGTCCTTTGGGAGAAGGGCGGTATATAAATTTAAATATTAAATTAAATGAAATTAATTTCCTCCCAATCAGCTGGGACTCGGGAGGCAGAGAATAGATGGGGGTGGGGCCAGTCAGAATTTTCACTACCGGTTCTCTGAACTACTTAAAATTTCTGCTACCGGTTCTCCAGAACTGGTCAGAACCTGCTGAAACCCACCTCTGGATTACTTTGAATATGATTCCTTTCCCTCCCTTGTCAGCATCACTGGAATTGAGTGACTTGAGGATGGGTGACTGGGATGGAGGATTCAGCCACCTTTCAAATTGCCCAAGTATGTCCTTCCTGTTTCAGCCAATACCTCCTGCCCACACTCCACTAGCATGTCCCTAGATTACTTTTGGATAAGGGTGTTAGTCCTTCAAGGTTGGCAGGTCAGGAAATAAGACTTCATAAGGTTTATTGGACTCTGCTTTATAGTTTTTCGGGTATATTGGCAAGTTTCCTCTGTCCTTTCTTGTAATATGGCATTACTTTAAATCTTTTTTAGGCTCCCTTCTTTCCCAGGGCTGAAATTTGGGGGGGAATGTGTCTTTGAGTTATTATTGATTTCTGGTGACCACCTGGATCAGTTCCTGTAGGTTTCTTGGCACTATTTTCAGAAGTGGTTTGTCCTTGCCTTTTTCTTTCTAGGGCTTAAGAGAGGGAGGCTGGCCCAAGCTCACCCAGTGGACTTCATGCCTAAAGCAGGACTAGAACCCAGGATCCTGGCAGTAGCTCCTAGCCTGTTGTCTTAACCACTACCCCAATTTGGCTCTTGAGATTTCATTTACAGTCTCTTTTATCAGTTAAAAGTTGTGTTCTTTTGCTCACGTTTCTGCCTGCCTTTACACCAGATTCAGCATTCTTTCAGAAGAATTCATAAAAACCCATGTTTCAGATCACCAGCATGGTGGAGAGATTATGAGGAATATTAGACAACTTCTCCCTCTTTCTCCCTTTGCCATATAACTATGCTTGTGACCTGGGACAGAACTCTTGTAACTTTCATCCTTGCTCCCATTTATCTCACATAGATGGATGTTGAAACAAATGTCGATGCTGGCAGTGAATGCTCATGGCCTAGTAGTATTCGGCAGGTAAGTGAAATAACATCTCCCCTCCCCCAATTAAAACAAAAACAGAAATAAAACAAATAAATCTCAAACAAATAATATAGACCAGTGCTTTATCTAGGGAATGGGGAACGCTAGTTTTGTTTTCTTACATAAAGGTCTACTATCCTTCCTTGTGTTTTAAAAACAGTATTCTTTAAGAAGCGAGCTAATCTGGAAATGTCAGGCTGGCATTTTCCAAAGCACGGGTCAGGCATTACGCAGGTTGATGTCACTGTGGAAGCCAGGTGTCCTGCAGTTGAAGCCAAAAGGGCCAGGGAGGGCAGTTACCAGTGGCCTAGGAAAGATGACGTGCCCACAACGTCCTCACATGAGCAATCGGTGGTGGACAGATTACCTGAATATGTTATCACCAACTTCATCAATGAATCACTATAAATCATTCATGCATTGGGAGTGGTGCTGGAAGAAGAGAAGAAGACTACTTTATAAAACTGCCTCTAAAGATGAATTAAGCTGCCTCTGCAGCAGGTGAAGATGAGATGCTGAGATGAAAACAATATTTGAGCTGCCCAGGGTCGTTTGTGGGTGGCTATAGAAATCAAACAACAAACAAATAAAATGTCATGGAGGCATAACCTTGTAAGATAATGAAGGGGGCATAGTTATTCTATGGGAGGATGAGCCCTCAATCACTATTGGTGCTTGCCACTATTGGTGGCACACAACAAGGTCTCTTCCAATCTGATGCATTGAATTCTACAATTAGTGGAAAGGTAGTAGATTAAACCTTTGACTGCTTACATGGTCTGTGAACTATATCACTGAATTATAAGGGCTCTGGACAGAGGTGGTATTCAGCCGGTTCGAACCAGTAGTGGAAATCACAGGTGGTGGGCCCCACCCACCCTCTGCCGCCCCGCCCCGGCTCTATGCTGTCCTATTTAGGCACGTTTTTGAGGCTGTGTGCATGCATGGAAGGCACGCGCACAAACAAAGTACATGCGTGGAAAGTCGGGCGCATGCATGGAAGGCCGGGCGCATGCGGAGAAGGCATGTGCGTGAAGCAAGCGTGTGTGCAGACACGCAGCAAACTGGTGGTAACAAAATGTGAAACCCACCGCTGGCTCTCGATAAAGATTTATCTCAGCTTAACTCATTGCTCCAAACAGCCAACTCCACTCTGTTCCAGGGTATGGATGCCAATTTATCTGCAGTTCCCCTAAATGGTATCTACTGAACGTCCATGTCACTTGTTGCAATTTAATTTAATAATTTGAGCATGACCAAAATCATTATGAAATCAGCAGAAATTGTAAGGTTTTGAAAGTCTCACACAAGAACCCATGAGATATCAAAGCAAAGTCTCGTTGTTACAAGAGATTCTGTGAAAATTCAGCATTCTCACATGAAAGCGTGGTGCAAATAGCAATGACATCAAAATGGTAAAAAAGGCATATGCCAAGATGCCACAATGCAAACTCCAGCCTTTTTGGAAACAAATGCTTAAGTCACAGGATTTGTTTATAATGTCATGACCCATATTTTGTTTTGCCTCCTTTCTCCTCTCATGGACGTCCATATATGAGAATGAAGAATCTGGCAATCTCTCAAGACTCAGGGCATTTTAAAAATGTTTATTCTTATTTTCGGTGTGA